ATAGAAAGTAGTCTCCTACACCTATCTCCTGCAGTAGCTTCTCATAGAAAATAGTCTCCTACACCTATCTCCTGCATTAGCTTCTGATAGATAATAGTCTCCTACATCTATCTCCTGCATTAGCTTCTCATAGAAAATAGTCTCCTACACCCATCTCCTGCATTAGCTTCTGATAGAAAACAGACGTTGAAACTCTGGGATTAGAGAATCCTGACAGATCTACGTCACACTGTCACCAACATTCATGGACTCACCCATCTGGACTCATGACGGGGAAGGCTGTTGTTGGTTTAGCGTCCAGGAAACAGCAGAGAACGTCTCAGCTAGTAGAAGCTAACTGTTAGCATTAGCTACTCCACCACACAGCAGAACTCCTCCAGGCTTGTGTTATTAGTGGAGGTAAAACATCAACGTTGCAGAGCAACCAGAGTCAGTGGTGGAGCCGTGTTGCTGTTAGCCAATCAGAGGAGAGATGTCCACATATCAGGAAGTAAGACTCCAGGTCCTATCGTCTGAAGCTCAGCTCTGATGTTGCTTACTTCTAGTTCCTGAAACGGAGCGCACGTGAGCTATTTTTGCTCCGAGTGCGACTCGTTCCTACCAGAGCCCACTTCAAATGTATTGACTAAATGAGTTTCCCACACCTTTTAATGCTGTGTTTGAGAATCATTGGTTGTGTTTGCACCTGCAGTGACGTCTATAAGATCCAAGAAGGCATCGGTGACAAGGTGGGGATGCTGATCCAAAGCTTCAGCAGCTTCGTTGCAGCTTTTGTCATCGGCTTCACCCAAGGCTGGAAGCTAACTCTGGTTATTCTGGCTGTGAGCCCTGCTCTGGGCATCTCGGCAGCACTTTTCAGTAAGGTAAAGTTATTTAACGTTCTCCCGGACGGTCTTTTATGTCCTCTTCTATTTAGAAAGGAGCAGCACACATTTGCTGCCCTGTAAGCTTAAAAGATGAGTTTACGTTCTCCCCTCTCCTCACCTGTCTGAACAGGTGCTGGCGAGCTTCACCACCAAAGAGCAGAGCGCCTACGCTAAAGCTGGTGCTGTGGCTGAGGAGGTGCTGTCTGCCATCAGGACAGTGTATGCCTTCAGTGGTCAAAATAAGGAAATCGACAGGTGTGTGTGTGTGTGTGTGTGAGTGTGTACACGCGCGCAGGCTCAGCAGTGGAAGGCTCTAACTGAATAAAACCGGTCTGTGCAGCTGCTGTTGAGGTTTGGGTCGGGCCTGTTTTTGACCGTCTCCATTGCCCCCGTCTGTTTCGTGCGGCAGATATCACAAGAACCTAGAGGACGCTAAAAGGATGGGAATCAAGAAGGCTATCTCTGCAAACATCGCCATGGGCTTCACCTTTATGATGATCTACCTGTCCTACGCTTTAGCCTTTTGGTACGGCAGCACGCTCATCCTGGGTGGGGAGTACACCATCGGCAAAGTGCTCACTGTAAGTTTGTGCTAGTTGTTTCTGACCCTGCCTGAAGGAGCCGTAGTGAAGCTCACACACACTCTCTCTGTCTGAAGGTGTTCTTTGTGGTGATTATTGGAGTGTTTGCGATGGGGCAGACTTCTCCCAACGTCCAGACGTTTGCTAGCGCTCGTGGAGCTGCCTACAAAGTCTACCACATCATTGATCACGTAAGACGGGCTGCTTGTGTTGTTTTAAGAAGTCCTTCCTCTGGACAGCTGTCGGCTTGTGTCAGCGATCACACACCGCTGTACTCAGGCGATCTGTGGAGCTGCTTTGATGCAGCCGGAAACTCCAAACCGGTTAAGACTGGACAGATTTTTCTCTAATTCGAGCTCCTGCTGGTTGAATTTAAAAAATAAGGAAAAAAAGCGGGTCATTTGAGCCGATTCTCCACAGACGTAGCTCCACTCTTCCAGGGGTTTAGCGCAAGTCAACGCTCTCAAAGTTGACGTTCAAAAATTAAATCAAAATTATGATTGGTGTTGGATCGACGTGACGCCTCTGCTAGTACGGGCTAACCCTAACCCAAGTTGAGTTATATAAGCTCATGAAAAGCCTGCGCTGACTGGAGAACACAGCTTCTGGTAAAGTTGATGCTAGACTTGATCTCAGCACATTTCTGGTCCTTTAAAGAGTAAGTCACCCCCAAACCAACTTTATTTTCTGACAAACTATATAAATGTGTGTCTAATCGTGCTGCAGACACGTGTAGTCAGTAGTTTTGCACTTTAGTGCATTTTAGTGAAAATGTTAATGTTCTGCTTAAAACTGTCAGTGATGCACCGTTGTCGGGTAAAAACTCTTCACTGCATTTGAATTTAAATCTGCCATCGCTATTGGCTAAGAGGTACCCTAGAAAGTTAGCTGGTACCATATGATGTCACAATGTCGTTGTGAGCCTGTGTGTGTGTATTTGTTAGCGGCTCCGCCCTCTCGGTCTGCTAGGCAACAGCATTTGTTGCATTTTTCAAACAGGAAGTGGGAGCAGAGTAATACTCTGGTAGGGGGTGATTTGCTCTTTAATGGCAGCAGATGCAAATTATTTCTTTTTGTCTTATTTTTATTGTCAAGCACAAAGGTGTGTGTGTGTGTGTGTGTGTGTGTGTGTGTGTGTGTGTGTGTGTGTGTGTGTGTGTGTGTGTGTGTGTGTGTGTGTGTGTGTGTGTGTGTTCATCAAGAAAAGCGGTGAAAAGACAGAATTTTGAAACAAACACTGGTCCAGTCAGACTCCCTCACCCTAACCCGGGAAGCGGCCTTCCTCCCATTGTCCGTCTGAGGTTATTCTAAGAACCAGAGTCTTGATCTCGTTTTGGCCAGACTACAAACCAGAACGTGCTGTTTTCTTCACAGAACCCGAGCATCGACAGCTATTCAAACACGGGCTTCAAGCCGGACTTCATCAGAGGGAACATCGAGTTCAAAAACATCCACTTCAACTACCCCTCAAGGCCCGACGTCAAAGTGTGTTCCCAGTCAAAATGGGACCCGTTTTCCCAGCGACGGCGCTGATTCTGACCGACATTTGTGTCCTCTGTAGATATTAGATGACATGAGTTTAAGTGTGAAGAATGGGCAGACCATGGCGTTGGTCGGCAGCAGCGGCTGTGGTAAAAGCACAACCATCCAGCTGCTGCAGAGGTTCTACGATCCCCAGAAAGGTTCTGTAAGTGACGGGTTTCACTCAGTAATCATACATGTGTGACGGGAATAAAAGATGTACTTCTTCTATTGGTAGGTTTCTATCGACGATCACGACATTCGCTCGCTTAACGTCCGCTACCTGAGAGAAATGATCGGAGTCGTGAGCCAGGAGCCCGTCCTCTTCGCCACCACCATCAGCGAGAACATCCGCTACGGTCGACCAGACGTGACCCAGAGGGAGATCGAACAAGCCTCCAAGGAAGCCAACGCTTACGACTTCATCATGAACCTCCCTGATGTAGGCCACCATTTTATCACCAAAGCGTTGAAGTCTATGCTCGTCCTTTCTCAGACAGAGACTGTTGTTGTTGAGCAGAAGTTCGAGACTTTAGTCGGTGACCGAGGAACTCAGATGAGCGGGGGGCAGAAGCAGAGGATCGCGATTGCTCGAGCTTTGGTCCGCAACCCCAAAATCCTTCTGTTGGACGAAGCCACATCTGCACTGGACGCTGAGAGCGAGACCATCGTGCAAGCTGCTCTTGATAAGGTACCGGCTTTCTCGTTTAATCCGAGTTAGACGAGAAACGGTGTGTTCCTGTCGGTAGAGCTGGTCTGTATTTATTCACACGTTAGACCTGAAATCTCTCAGTAAGTAAGAGTTTTTGTTTGGTCCTCATCAGTAATTTCCCCACAAGGAATCTAGACCGACAGCAGCAAAACACGCACGTCGGTCTAGCCCCGCCCCGCTGTAGCCTCAACAGGTCGGCCGTTTCCACACCTGCAGATCTAACGTCGTGCTTGGATGGTTCCTTTGTTCGTCTACAGGTCCAACAGGGCCGCACCACGTTAATCGTCGCTCACCGCCTCTCGACCATCAGAAACGCCGACGTCATCGCAGGTTTTCAGAAAGGTCAAATCGTGGAGCTGGGCACTCACAGTGAGCTGATGGAAAAGAAAGGAGTCTACCACACACTGGTCACCATGCAGGTAACGTGCACACACACGCACGCACGCTCGTGTCAGGGCGGTCGTTTAGTGAGATTCTCCCTCGTCTTGTTCTCGCTGTAGACCTTTCAGAAGGTAGAGGAGACGGATGAGGAGAGAGAGCTGTCCGCTGAGGAGAGAAGTCCAACGTCCAACATCGTCTCCAAGACTTCGCTGTTCAGGAGGAAGTCCACGAGAGGCTCCTCCTTCACCGCTTCTATTGGAGAGAAGGAAGAGAAGGAAAAGTCGAAGGGTGATGAGGAAAAGGCAGAAGATGTAAGCTGTGTGTCCTGAGAGCAACAGCTAAGACCTGAATGTGGACTTCTCATTGAACATGGATAATGTCCAACCCCCCTGGTCCTCTGAGGCTTTGGTTTTGCTATGAAAATAATCAAACCTGTTCTTCTGGAAACTGAAGTTATTCACAGTTCCATCTACTTTTGCTCATGTCCACAGTAACCTTTGCCCTGTGTTCTTTCTCCAAATGCGGTTTCACGCTTTTTCAGGATGAAGATGTCCCCACGGTGTCGTTCTTCCAGGTGTTGCGTCTCAACCGCTCCGAGTGGCCTTACATTCTGGTCGGCCTGTTTTGTGCCATTGTGAACGGAGCCATTCAGCCTCTGTTCGCCATCCTCTTCTCCAAGATCATCACCGTACGTCTCTGCCGGCGCCACAAAGATCTCGCCTGCTTCTGTTCCTGTTTGAAGATGTTTGTGAAAGCGGCAAAATTGGTTTTTCATTCTTCTTCTAGGTGTTTGCTGAGCGAGACCCAGAAGTCGTTAAGCAGAGGTCCAATTTCTTCTCCCTCATGTTTGTCGCTATTGGAGTTGTGTGCTTTTGCACCATGTTTCTGCAGGTATACACACACACACACACACACACACACACACACACACACACACACACTAGGGATGCACCGATACGATACTACCAGTATCGGTAAAAGTTAACCGATACCGATACTGGCATCGATACCGATTCTAGTATCGGTATCGGGGAAAGTTAACCGATTCCAGCATCGGTAAAAGTTAACCGATACCAGGAACCGATACCAATGCAGTTGCTTGAAAATGACTTCACTCTAACTTGTCATTTCTGTTCACCTAATATTTTAGTTTTGTGATGATTTCTATTCATATAATTTACTTTTTGTCTACCTCACTCAGTCTTTTCCTGTTGAAAGCAGAGAAGAAAATAAAATCTGTATTCCAAATCATTGCATTTTTGTGTGTGTGTGTGTGTGTGTGGTAGAAGTATTGGTATCGGTAATCGGTATCGGCGAGTACTCAGATCCAAGTATCGTATCGGTTTGGAAAAAAGGGGTATCGTTGCATCCCTAACACACACACACACACACAAACACACACATAGTGACTCTGGTGTACTGCGCAAAAAAGTTTTCTTCAAAATCAGTTCAACTTTATTTGTGCAACAGTCGATACAAAAGCAGTTATAGATTAAGGAACCAAAGGAAAGAGCATAAAAATGGTGTCGCACCAGAACGTTAGAACGGCTAAAAAACCTGAGGAGCTGCGGGTTGAACGAGTTTCACCCTTTACTCACCATTAGGGCTTTTTTGTGCAACAAGAATATTTCATGAACACGTAGACACAGATCTAGCTGCTCCTTGAAAGCCTACCCGTGTCTTTTCTCCCTGAACCTGTCACTGGAGAGCTGTCGGACACCGCTGTGTCACCGTGTCATGTTACCATGTCGCCGTGTCGCCTCACACCTAATCCAGACCGAGTTCATTCATGGAGCTGATGCATGTTTGTCTTTCAGGGATTCTGTTTCGGTAAATCTGGAGAAGTCCTCACCTTGAAACTGAGACTTGGAGCTTTCAAATCCATGCTGAGGCAGGTGTGTGCACGAGCTGTGATGTTTTAAACGGGAAGCGGTGCTGCAGGGGTGATGGGTTGGGGTTCGTTGTTACGGTTTTTAGTAAAACCACTGATGGATGAAATATTGAAGGTGTTCGGTTGGGATCGCAAAGCTGTTTTAGTTCATTTGTGCTCACTAGACACGAATATTTCCTTAGATATGGAAACTAAAATATGCAAAATAAATACTCAAGATCTGTGGATCAAACTGAGTAAATTTATATTTTGTGCACATATTTATTATCTTTTAAAAGTAATATTACTGTATTGTTGACTCCTTCGGAGGTTTGTTTTTGTCATAATTACAGTTTTTTCTGCTTTGTAAGATAATCTTTTGCCACCTAACTCACAGGTGTCAAACTCCGGTCCTCGAGGGCCGCTATCCTGCACGTCTTTGCTCCAACACTTCTAATTCCATGTTGTCGTTCTTTTTTAAAACACAGAAATGGTTTTGTCACCTGTTATTGACGCTACAGTTTCGCCGTCGGCGAAACTGTAGCGTCAATAACAGGTGACAAAACCGTTTCTGTGTTTTAAAAAAGAACAACAACATGGAATTAGAAATAACGCACAGCAAGAACACACCTAAGATGTCCAACACTTCTGATTCAGTGGTTGATTCACCTGTTCAGCAGCTCATCAGGCTCTGCAGAAGCCCGTTAATCACCTGCTGATTGAAATCAGGTGTGATGATGCAGGGTTGAAGCTAAAATATGCTGGATAGCGGCCCTCGATGGACCAGGGTTCCCGACCCCTGACCTAACTGCATCGTTGGTTCTTATTTAAAACACAGGAAATGCTTATTTATACCTTGCTGACGGTTTCGATCGCGGCTGCAAGCTTCCTCAGAGCTGACGCTGATGGTGGTGTCCCTTCCTTCTCCGTTTATCCGCCACCATCAGCGTCAGCTCTGAGGAAGCTTGCAGCCGCGATCGAAACCGTCAGCAAGGTATAAATAAGCATTTCCTGTGTTTTAAATAAGAACCAACGATGCAGTTAGAGACTCAACGCAGCAAGAACGTACCAAAGATCTGTATCACCTATTGGGGTCAGTAAATTATTTGGGTTAAGAATATTAGACACAAGCACTATTTCAAAATAAAAGACTCTATCTAATTGTTGTTTTATCAGTTGGTGATTGTTGTTTCCGTTAAAACTGACATATCTGTGTTGTGTTCTTTGCATATGCTGACTAAACTGTTGATACTGAGGCCGGTTTCCGACAGAGAAACGCGCGTATTTATATTCTGTTGTAGCCAGTAGGTCGTTTAACAAATACATCATCAATGTTGATAATTAAGAACAATAACTTTTATTTTAAATCCTACTTAATGCCATTATGTTTACAGTTTGTTTTATTTTGTGTGTTTACTGCGTGTAAATCCCTGGTTGACGTAAAAGGTTTCTCCTTTATTTGCTGAAGGATCTTGGATGGTTCGATAAACCTAAGAACAGCGTTGGGGCTCTCACCACGAGACTGGCAACAGACGCAGCCCAAGTCCAAGGGGTGAGTCTACAGACAAACCTTCACAAAGCCTCCTGACCCAGCTGCTATATAGACTGTTCTGATTGGTTTCACTCGTCCAGGCCTCAGGAGTGCGACTGGCCACGTTTGCCCAGAACATTGCCAACCTGGGCACAGGTATCATCCTGGCTCTGGTGTACGGCTGGGAGCTAACTCTTCTCATCCTGGCTGTGGTGCCCGTCATCGCGCTAGCCGGAGCTGTGCAGATGAAGATGCTCACTGGACATGCAGCCGAGGACAAGAAGGAGCTGGAAAAGGCTGGAAAGGTGGGACACTGGGGGTGACCTGGTGAGGACTGGGGATGACAGATGTCATCACACAGTTTTCCATGGGCCCTCAGATTAACACAGTGGTCAGATCGTGTTTTTATCAGCTGCGCAGACTAGTCCGCTTAAAACCGATCCTGAAACGAGCACATCTGGAATCCGTAATCCATGCTTTTATCATCTCTCGACTGGATTATGCAAATTCCATTTTAATTGGTTTACCTGCCTCCGCTCTTAACAGGCTTCAGGTCGTACAAAACGCGGCAGCCAGGTTTTTAACAAACACTCCTAGGAGAGAACATATCACACCTGTACTGGCGCGGCTCCACTGGCTACCCGTAAACTTTAGGGTCAAGTTTAAAGTCCTGATTTTTGTTCTTAAGGCCCTGAACGGTCTGGCACCGGATTACCTGTCGGATCTTGTCACTAGATATGTGCCAAACCGGGCGTTGAGGTCTGCTGATTGCCTGCTGCTTCGCGTTCCATCAATGAAATACAAAACGCGGGGGCAGCGTGCTTTTGTCTACGCTGCTCCGACACTATGGAATGCACTTCCTCTTTCGGTGAGGCTGGCACCATCCCTCCTCCGGTTCAAATCGCTGCTGAAGGCTCACTTTTACGACCAGGCATTTTGAAATCCCTGACTTTTATTATTTTATTATGTGTCTTTTTACTGACTGTAATTATCTGCCTTGTTGTGCATTTTATTGTTGTGCGTGTATTGTTTTATATTGTGTTTTTACTTTTTATTCTGTACAGCACTTTGGTCGGCTGCCATGCCGTTTTTAAATGTGCTTTATAAATAAAGATGGTATGGTATGGTATGTCACGTGTGTTTGGTGTGTCTCCACAGATCGCAACGGAGGCCATCGAGAACATCCGTACTGTTGCCTCTCTGACTAGAGAACCAACATTTGAGTCTCTGTATCAGGAAAACCTCACAGTCCCTTATACGTACGTCCAGTTGTACAGTCAAGTGTCGATGATTTGAGGATTAGTCTTCATGGTGTTAACTTTATCGTGTCTGTGCAGGAACTCTCAGAAAAAGGCTCATGTGTACGGATTCACCTTCTCCTTCTCCCAGTCCATGATCTACTTTGCCTACGCGGGATGCTTCCGCTTCGGAGCGTGGCTCATTGAAGAAGGAAGGATGGATGTGGAGGGGGTGTTCCTGTGAGTAAGCTCAAATCTTTACTCTAACTGGCTTTTTAACTCTTTCGCTGCCAGCGTTTCTCACCGTTTTTCCTGTTTTTTTAAGAGTTGCAGAACGTTGTGCGCTAGCATGATGTCGACGCCAAAACAACCAAAACAAAGCGGAGACTCGCCTCTTACATCGGGAAGAATCCGCGCGTTTCGAGCGTTATCCGTTCTTTCATAATCCGTTGTTGAATTGTGATCGGCAGAAGCTTTTCCGGTTTGCGCCTCACTTTTTTTTACAGCAGCGGCCCAAAACGATCTCCTTACACATGGATGTTCTGCTTCCTGATCACGTGACGTGTGACGTACGCGGATGAAGATCGGCTTTAGAGCCGAGATGTTTGTTCTCACGGTGCGGGGGCTCGTCCGACGCCCACACAGTAAAAAAAATGCAAATGACGACTTTAGTCGTGGATTCTCAACTCATTCACTTAACTCAATCGGTTTAAGTCGAGAAGGTGTCAGAGTGCAGGTAAGAGCGTAACATTCCTGCTCAGCAGGCCTGTTAATCAGTACGCTGCTGATTCGTTACATACACACACACGTGTGTTTAGGACTGTACTGTAATTTAGCAGTTTATAGCTGGAATGAACATTTATAGACCTTCTGTTCTCTGGAGAGAGTCTAAAGTTCAGTGAACTGTTTGGCAGCAGGAAGTGGTATAAATATTTAACTAGTCTCCTCGTTGGCGTCTCATTACACAAACGCAGCACGCACAGCAGCGTTTCTGGAAATATTTGTGCTGTAAACAAACTTCTAGTACTCAACTCCAAATATAACTAAAGGCCTCTTCAAAGGATCTTTTCTCATTTTGGCACAGCTCTGCTGATTTACGTTCTTCATTAGTAAATAAGACAAAAGCATAAACGGGCGATTTAACTTGGTACATGAACAACTGTTGACCTTGACATAACATTAGGACTCATTTAAAGTCTAGTTGTTACAGTTTAAGTATGAAGACTTAAAGTGGTCTAGATTTCAAGTCTTGGCTGGGTTACTAATGTAGCAGTCAGAGCCTTCTCTGTTTTAACCCATCGTAGGTCTAGACACACCTTTAAAGGTATGGAACACAGAAAAACAATGGTTTACCGTATTTTCCAGACTATAAGTCGCACCAGCCATAAAATGTGCAACCAATGGTTTAAAAAAAAAGTTTTTTTTCCATACTATTATTGGCTCTTTAAGAAACATCACTTGATACATCCCACACTACAAAACAGGTAAAAGTACGTATGATTTGTGCTGATATCGTATCCGATTGACATCGGTATCGGCTGCAATATTGGTATCGTATCGGAAGTGAAAAAGTTGTATCGGGACACCCTAACAAATAATTCAGGAAATTCTTTACAACTTATTCTTCACGTTTCTTTGAAATAACCGAAAAACATACAAAATACTATCGAACGTTTGTTTTTTTAGCTACACAGACTTAATTTTGTGACTGATCACTGGAAAGATGCATTCAAACCGCACCGTAGGAGCCCATTTTCTCTCTCTGTATAGAATTACAGTCTGTATGATGGATATGTGTTGGATTATATTTGTGCTTGAATGAAAAAGATCACTGGAGATAATTTGATTAATACAGGTGATGGAACCAGCGTTCATAGGGAGGGCCTTTGGGTTCACTGCAGCAGCACGAAGCATCAGTAAAAGCTTGTTGCTTGTTGAGACGGAGTCATAAATGGTCATAACTGGTAAATGATGTCATGTGTTGACTCATCACACAAAAGCACAAGAACTGTGTGATGCTGGCGACGCTCCAGAGGGTCTTGGCTTTGACTGATGATGTGAATTCCTCTCAGGGTGATTTCAGCTGTTCTGTTCGGCGCCATGGCTCTCGGAGAGGCAAACACCTTCACTCCAAACTATGCCAAGGCTAAAATGTCAGCTTCCCACCTGATGATGCTGTTGAACAAAAAGCCTGACATTGACAATTTGTCACAGGAGGGAGTCTCTCCGGTACAGACACACCACGAAGCCACACACACCTGTTTACAAACGTGGTGTTTACAAACACGGTGACCTTTCTCCTCTTTGCGGTTTAAGGACAAATTTGACGGTAACGTGAGCTTTGTGAACGTGACGTTTAACTACCCGTCACGACCCGACGTGCCCATCCTGCAAGGCCTGAATCTGAAGGTGAAGAAGGGGGAGACGCTGGCGCTGGTGGGGAGCAGCGGCTGTGGAAAGAGCACCACCATCCAGCTGATGGAGAGGTTCTACGACCCCCAGGGGGGGAGTGTGGTGAGTGTCATCAGCTGCTGGTTGGTTAATGTTCACCTGGCCGGGGTGTTTGTAGCAGCCGTACACAACTAGAAACCTTTGTTCTTCTGTACAGTCAGGGCTGAAGATCATAAATGCTTATCTGCTCTTGTTATCATGAGCTGGTTATTCACTGCAGAACTGATACAGTCCTGGGGGGTGGGGGGGGGGGGGGGTACTTTACAACTCTAACCAGTTTAGGTCCTATGACACTAATTATTTGTACTTACAACCACCAACAGACTCTAATTTAAAAATTCACCCTAACGTCGCGTAGAACCGGATTATAGTCGGAACTATTGGGATTTATTACTAAACAAATCACAAGATCATAGAAACGGGAATATAAAAAAATGCTTCTGAACTTTGTGGATGTAGTTCATGGTGAGGTGATAAAAACCACCGGTATATGTTGGAGGTTTCTCCGTGGAAACATAAACATTTGCACAGTGAAGTTTATAATTAAAGCTGTTATAGCAAATCTACAGAACAAGCTAGGTTTGAACGCAAACGCGGTAACAGAACACTCACCCCTCCCCTCAGGTATCTTCCCGACGACGCTTCTGCCGGAACCGGAAACTCACGATGCCAGAGCAAACGAGATAGCGCCAAACACCAGTCGCCTTTTTCTAGATCCAAACGTCTTCTGTTGTCCGTGACTTCAGACGGTGATTTTCTTTTTGGGACTCTGGTAGTTTGTCCTAAAGCTGAAGTGGTAGCAGCCGGCCGTTTCTCCTCCTCTGATGTGACTGAGTGGAGAACCTCACACCAGTGGTGTTCTGCTGCGGAACACGTGTGTGTGTGTGTGTGATGAGTGGTGCACCCAGGGAAGTGCAGCGGTTGGGTGAGACCGATAACCGGGTGGTCCGATGGTGGCCCAAACATGTTTATGAACTTGATGCCTACCGTAGACCTGTGGTGTTTTTAGTATTAGGGTAGGGTTAGCTTGTTAATACACACTCATGGCTGAAGCTGTAACTTTACCGCTATGGCTCGATGCAATTACCGTAACAAGTTTACTTTTGGTACGTGATTTCATGTCCGAGTGTAACTCATCCCCGAGGTCTCAGGGCTTCTCATCTCTGGTGCTCCTCCTCCTCCAGGTGATGGACAACATGGACGTCAAACAGCTGAACATCCACTGGCTGAGATCCCAGATCGGCATCGTGTCCCAGGAGCCTGTTCTGTTTGACTGCACCCTGGCTGAGAACATCGCCTACGGAGACAACAGCCGCTCCGTGAGCATGGAGGAGATCCAGGCAGCTGCCAGAGCGGCCAACATTCACAGCTTCATTGATGAGCTGCCACAGGTACTCATTCACTCATCAGGTTAGGAGTGACCATGGACGTAATTTTGGGGGGGACAGGGGGGACATGTCCCCCCCCCCCCCCCCCCCCCACGTTTTCCAAAGTCAAGTTTTGACCCCTGCACTTTTTACCATCCAAAAACAATATTACTCTATATTAAACTGACACTGGTTGAGCTCTAGGACCAAGCGGAATACAACCATTTGTGTTGAAGCCTGTTAGCGTACTGTAAAGATCCCCCCCCACCCCACCCACCCCCGTGTTCCCCCCACTTCTAAAGTGAAAATTACGTCCATGGGAGTGACGAGCATTTCTCGCTAACCTTGTGGGTCAGGGTTAGCATTTGGTTGTCTGATATTCTGTGGAGATCGGGTCAAGCTGGGACAGCGGAGATGTTAGAATTACAGATAAAAGGAACGTGCCGGGGAGTTTGCTGTCTGCAGGCTTATCTAAACAGGTTACGCTGCAGGCTGAAACAAAGGACGTCCTGTTGAAAGCGTTTCATTAACTGCAGAGAAAAGTTAGGAGCTATTCAATATTTTATCAACTAAATTAAAGATTCTCCAGATGTTAAATGTATTTGATCTTTGGTGAAAACTAAATCTGTCTGGCTTTGGACATTTTTAAACACTTCAAATCAAGTTGTCTTTAAAGAGCAAGTCACCCCCAAATAGTCAGTTTTTTTCTGATAAACTATATAAATGTGTGTCTAATCGTGCTGCAGACACGTGTAGTCAAGTTTTGCACTTTAGTGCATTTTAGTTAAAATTTTAATTTTCTGCCTAAAACTGTCGGTGTTGTGCCGTTGTCAGGTAAAAACTCTGCACTGCATTTAAATTTAAATCTGCCATCGCTATTGGCCAAGAGGGACCCTAGAATGTTAGCTGGTACCATATGATGTCACAATGTCGTTGTCAGCCTGTGTGTGTGTATTTGTTAGCGGCTCCGCCCTCTCGGTCTGCTAGGCAACAGCATTTGTTACGTTTTTCAAACAGGAAGTGGGAGTGGAGTAATACTCTGGTAGGGGGGTGACTTGCTCTTTAAATTCACACAAATTCTGCTATTTCTGAATATACGTCTGGTGACCTTGAAGACATGCGTTTGGTTTAAAGTCAGTCGAAGCAGGAAAATGGCTCACCTGCTGCAGGTTTTAGGTTGAATGCAGTTTTTCTGGTTTATTTCTGCATGAAGCATCCACAAACCAACAGCTAGAAGTGGATTATTTCAGTTAAACAGGCTCATAAAATCAAGCTCCTGTCACAACTGGACTCCAGGAAGCTCCAGTCATCAGGTTGTTCTGAACTAACATCACGGCGTGTCTTCGTTTCTGTTCTCTTGAGCAGAAGTACAAGACCCAGGCAGGTGATAAGGGAACTCAGCTGTCTGGTGGTCAGAAGCAGCGGATAGCCATCGCCAGAGCGATCCTCCGCAACCCCAAAGTGCTGCTCCTGGACGAAGCCACGTCTGCGCTGGACACGGAGAGCGAGAAGGTTTGTCTCTTTTCCTTTCAGCAGTGATGCTCGTATGAAATCAGAGGTTTCAGCAGGTGATTTGTGGTTTGTTCAGGTGGTGCAGGACGCCCTGGACCAAGCCAGTAAAGGCAGGACGTGCGTCATCGTAGCCCACCGTCTCTCCACCATCCGAAACGCCGACCGTATCGTCGTCTTCCAGGGCGGCGTGGTGGTGGAGCAGGGCACGCATCAACAGCTGCTGGCCAAGAAGGGAGTCTACCACATGCTGGTCACCACACAGCTGGGTCACGGGACAGAGTGAGAGGACACAGGGACGACACCGGTCTGTGTCCTTATAAAGACTAGCTGAGTGGCTCTTTACCGACCTTTTCACAAATTATATCGCCTCATAACAGAAACGCTGCCACGACTCACCGAAAGGTAGACGGCCATGTTCCTATTTTAGAAAGGCTTGCACGCCCAGTGACGAGGACGACCTGAGACGCGTCTACGATCCTGCACCGCTCCTGGTTACAGTTCGGCACATCTAGTAAGAGCCGTGATGTTTTTTACGTTCAGGGAATCCAAACGGCTCCGTTTCACTCCAGAGCATTCCTGAGCGACAAAAACAATTAGACTAGTTTAATACCTCCGTGTTCACCTGGCTTTAAACACCTGATGAAGTCTAACACCGCTCGCCTCACGCTCCCTCTCCAAGCCTGTAGCAGAAACAGCTGCAGATGTTCAGGGACTGCTCAGAAAATCGACGTCTAGATAGAAATGGCTCCAGCAGCAAACCAACCAAAGGTGTTAATATTCAGTACGAACACCGGAGAGGTTTCAGCAGTAACTTACACACTGGGACCGTCCACCATGGGTAAAAGCTTAGTTACTGTTTACTCCAAGTTCTCATCCAAGTCTTCTGTAGGAAGGTGTGTTGTGGAGGAAGATATTAAACTATTAAAGTTTTGTATTTAAGAGCAGATGTTTGTCTTATTTTCTGGGACAGAAGTCACATTTTTTATTATCTCAGTTTATTTTGCTCAGATACAGTTAAACATCAATTTTCCTACACAAAGTTAAAACCTAACAAAATAAAACGCCAGAAATAACGCTTTCACGGGGAGATTTAGCATTCGCCACCTTTTAGCGATCCAAACGGGCGTTCAGCTCCGAACAGAAAGGACAACCCAGAGCTTAAAAGGTGCAGCGGTTAATGAGGCTTTGATTTTAGCTCGTTATCCCACCATCAGCTTCTTCATTAGCTCATGTTGGACACAGGTAAACACAAACCCTCCTGTGGGAAGCTGGGAGCTAAAGCTAATCTGGATATGACATCAGACCGTGTTAAAGAGCAAGTCACCCCCAAATCAACTTTTTTTTTCCTGATAAACTATATAAATGAGTGTCTAATCGTGCTGCAGACACGTGTAGTCAACAGTTTTGCATTTTAGTGCATTTTAGTTCAAATTTAAATGTTCTGCCTAAAACTGTCAGTGTTGTGCCGTTGTCAGGTAAAAACTCTGCACTGCATTTGAATTTAAATCTGCCGTCGCTATTGGCTAAGAGGTACCCTAGAATGTTAGCTGGTACCATATGATGTCACAATGTCATTGTGAGCCTGTGTGTGTGTGTTTGTTAGCGGCTCCGCCCTCTCGGTCTGCTAGGCAACAGCATTTGTTGCATTTTTCAAACAGGAAGTGGGAGTGAACTAAGTTTCTTGTAGGGGGTGACTTGCTCTTTAAATAAGGCACAGGTGTGGAATCACATTCTGGTTTATTTTAAAGGCCTAAGATTTATTTTTTCATGTTTTAAAACTGCTCGTGCTCACTGACTAACCTCGCTCTCACGAGCCTAAATTAGTTAAAGGTCAAAACTCTCAGCTGGATGTTCCTGACACACACACACACACACACACACACACACACACACACACACACACACACACACACACACACACACACACACACACACACAGAGGACTTACAGACAGGAAGCAACCATGGAAACGCGATTTCTGATCGAATCAGGACTCCGCAGATTCTGGAGACAAACTCAAAACTCGATAGATTTAAACTGGAGTTTCACAACTAAAATCAGGCCCGACAGTCATTTCTGCATTGCTTCAAAACACACGAGTGTCGGTGTGTCTAAAGCAGGCGCAGAAAGACGAGTCACCAGTATGATTCAGACAAAACAAAAATAAACATTCCATTTAAATTTACAAGAACAAAACAGTAAATTCATATCTAGTGCTGATTACTTAGTGGTACATATTCTGCACCTTAGCATTGATTTGTGCTGATCGGGTCAGTGTAAACTGAGCTGCATGTGCATTGATCCTCAAACAGGGAAACAAAATTATTTATGTTCCTTTTAAATTCAAGTCCTTAAAGCTGAGAGGTGGTGGCCAGGTGGAGCAGCTCGTGCAGGGAGCTGGAGAAGTTGTTGAACAGTGCAGCGGCGTCCGTCTGACGGGACGATTTCCACGCCGAGATCGAGATGACAATCCTACGGGAGGAAAGAAAAACCGGTGTTTGAATCCAGCAGCTCAAAAAGAACAAACGTGACTATTTAACATGATTCCAAGTCATCTGTGCCCACCTGTGGTCTCTGATGCGGTAGAAGAAGCCGTATCCGTGCAGCACCATGGGAGCCACCGCACCCAGAACCGTGGTGTAGCCCACCAGACTGGACGACAGCACAAAGTTCCCCCCGCCGCCGCTGCAGACGCACAAAAACAAACTCGCGCTGAAGGAACGTTCTGTTATTAGGGAGCTAATTATACAACAGGTTGTACAGAAATGCTACGCAGAAATTTCCTGATAACATTTTACTCTCTTTGACGTTGGATGTGCTACTACTAGTTTACCCGTTTAATTATGGATCCACTAGGATAAATACAATAAAGTTTATCTCACCAAATAGAATACTTACTAAGAAATCACAACGTAACCATAGAAACAGAGTGTGTGTGTGTGTGTGTGTGTGTGTGTGTGTGTGTGTGTGTGTGTGTGTGTGTGTGTGTGTGTGTGTGTGTGTGTGTGTGTGTGTGCGTGTTGGATGGCTGCTTATACTGAGCCAGGATCCATTAGAGCAGGGGTGTCAAACTCAAATCCACACGGGGCTGAAATGAAACTCTGGGACGGAGTCGAGGGCCAAACTTAATATTTTTTGAAAAAGTGACGGTAAATTTGCACATTTTCTTTATCAACATATTTTGAACCTTTAAATTTGGAAACAAACTTATTTCTGCATTAACACTGAATGTGGAATAACCAAATTACACACGGGCAAGTCAGTTTTAAATAAAACACATCAGTGGTATTCATTACTTGTGGTATAATCAGCATTTTTAAAATCTATTCATGATTTATGTTTTCTTGTTTATTCATTTTTCTTATTTTTCTTATTTTTTTCTCCTGTAATACGTGTCATCGCTGCTGTGACGTCTAGCTTTCCCCACTGAGGAACAATAAAGGGATTTTCTATTCTATTCATCTATCTGCAGCCTTTCCACTTCCTGTTTACTGTAGGTTAAATCTTTTCTCACGGGCCAACAACAAAATAAAATATCATTTATCTTGAATGAAAATTCAATATATCACTTGTTAACTTTCATGTTTTGAGCAGAAAAAGAGCATAAAACCAACATATTTAAAGCTCAGTTTGCTCCACTGGTTTACTGTGATGCTCACCTGTTCCAGCCAGATACCTGCATCGTGGGGTTGATCTGAGCTGAGGAGGAGACTCCTGTTGTTTTGTTCATCTTCATCATAATAATGACAACATTAGATGACAACAGGTGCTCACATAGGTTTGTGCTGATGAACATGTCTGAGCAGCTTGACCACGTTGTTGTGTGTCGGGGAGGAAACACAACGACAGCAACCACAGAGCCGTGCTGGTTTGAGCGTGTCGCTGCTCGCTGGAGTTATACCAGCTCTGTCTGGACGTTAGTTGGCAAAATTTTCTCTTTAAGTCGTGAACACATTACTGAGCGGCTAGAATCTCCGTTTCTGAGCTTCAACGTCAGAAAATAGCTGAGTGAACTCGGCGCTGAGTGAGAGGAGTGGTTTGTCCGAGACAGCGGAGCTGCAGACACCGGCAGCAAGCGCTGGAAAAAACACAAAGGAGGGGGCGCGTCGCCGCCGCGCTGACGCCGCAAAGCATCATGGGAGTTGAAGTCTTTGTGGTAAAATCGGCCAGTGGGCCAGTTTTAATATATTTTTGATATTTATCTCGCGGGCCACATAAAAATGCTCCGCGGGCCGCATCTGGCCCACGGGCCTTGTGTCTGACATATGTGCTCTGGAGGTTTCTTCCTGTTAAAAGGGAGTTTTCCTCTCCACTGTCGCTGCATGCTTGCTTAGTATGAGGATTGCTTTAAAGACTCTGACACTAGTCAGTGACTCGATGCAACCTGCTGGGTTCCTTATATAGGAAACTTGTTACTGATAGGCTGAATGAACTGACCTGTATTGTTTACTGCGTGAAGGTCCTTGAGACGACTCGTCGTGATTTGGCGCTTAAGAAATAAACTTGAATTGAATAAAAGAGGCCGTACCTCCTCGAGTAGAGAGGGTCAGCGAAGAGCTCCGGAGTAGGACGTCCCTCCTCTTTGGCGATGAGATACAGACCGAGAAGATGCCTGTCGAAACCTGGAAACGGCGAAATGATCGGCTTTGTACGGGAAATGGAGATGAAGCATCAAAAACATGGATGATCTGTTTTAGTTGAACTGATCACCTTCTGGAGATCCTCCCTTGACAAATAGAAAAACGTGCTTCATGGCTTTCACGACAAATAAAACTACACACTCTGGCTGCAACATTCATTAAGTAAATATCATCCAAGGATGAGTTTTAGAAGCACGAAGGTCTTTAGTAATAATTCTGAGAACCCACCTTTCCCTTCTTGAGCTTCAGACATCAGATTGTTGTGTTTATCGAAGGCCACGAGCATGGCTCTTCTCCTGGCTTTCACCTGGAAAAAGAGCATTCCTGTTAAACCGTTTCACCACACCACAGCTGGCGTTTTCACCAACAGGTTTACATCAGACGCAGGGTCCATCATGGCTTTGCACCAGTCCACCGCCTCCTGGGTGCAGGGCCTCATCGTCTCCGTCCTGCCGTGATAAAACCTTCGAGTCGTCGCCGTCTCGTAGCAACTTCCTGGCCTGAAGCGAATCCCAAATCAACATTTAGAATCGAAGCGTCGACCATCTTAAACTAAGAAAGCGAAGAGGAGTACTTGTGGTGCAGTCTGTAGTACGCTAGCTGCATGGCCAGCTGAACAAACGTGTCTGGATGCAGCTTCTTCTGCTTGATGGCTGCTTTTCCGAACGCGGTGAAGGCGTAACACACGATCTGAAGGTTCTGGGTCTGTGACATCAGAGCTACGAGTCACACACCTGTGAATCGTGGATACGTCCTCGTCTACGTGAGGTTTTCTAAAGGCTCACCGACTCCAGGTACTGCCGTTTGGCGTGATTAATGTCACCGACGACTTTCTCGTCCACGGTGAACAGCAGCTCCTCCGGAGGTGGCATCCGTCTCACTGCGTCGGAACCCTGCAAGCAGTGACATCAGTGTGTGACGGCGGATATCTGTGGACGGAATAAAGTAAAGGCCAACTTTTACCTTCCATTTGCCTTCCGTAGCTCTGACTTGCTCGTCGAGATACCAGCACATGGACACCAGGACCATAGCATCATACGGAGCATGCTGCCGAACAATTCAATGTGGGATTAAATCCTCGGAGGATCGTGTTTCGGCGTCTTTTACCGGCGTCAGCCATGAGATGAACACAGACTCACATCACAGGTGGATCCAAAAGTGCCATCAGAGAACGAGATGGAGTTGTACGACTTATCGCCCCAACGGATGGTGGGGTCGCCCGTGAGGGCTGCCACCGTCAGCTGCGTTCAAAACTACAGTCAGAACCTTTTCTGGAGGCGAGCTCGTGCTTCAGGTGTGTGCAGCTCTTACGTTGGTGTAGTTCTCTGGAGTGGAGTAGGGTTTGGTTTCATCCAGGGAGATGACAAACAGGCTGCTCTGGATGGTCTCCAGGATGGTCTTGTTGTGTGGGTCGATGCTGATTAGATGCTCTCTTGCCTGCCGTGAAGGGATCAGAGGAGTGTTGGTTTCCAGAAAAGCTTTGGTGAAATGAGAACCTGCAGCCGCGAGCTTTGACCCGCGTCGGATCAACAACGGGAGCGGCGGTACCTTCGCCCAACGGGTCCTGTCGTCTGACGTCAGAGCAGACACTCCGTCTCCTTCTGACTCGCCGTCACAGCGCTGCTTCACGTAGCTCAGCTGTCTGCAGAGTCGCACACACACACACGAAGAAAAACTCAAATGTCGCATCTGTGAAATCCTCCCCAGCAGCCTCTATACGTAGAGAGTCTGCGTGTGACGTTGCTACCTGAGGATTTCTGGAGGAGTGAGGATCCGCCCGTCAAAAAGAGCATCAAAGGTAAACATCCGTCCGCGACACATGACCACCAGGTGAGAAGGACACGGACCCTCGCTCTCTGAGACAAAAACACCAAACCCGCACGATAAAGACGCCAGTCGTGGCCGTTCAGATCGGTGTGAAACCTAAAGATGAAGGTTCGTTCCACCTGTTTTGAAGTAGTTACGAATAGTATCCTTCTTCACTCCAGGTACCTTGCAGGTGCAGAAGAGCATCCTGAACTGATCCATATCCATCGGGGTTTGGTTTGCTTTTTGAGGAGCCAGTCTCTCCCTAAATGAATCAGGAAACAGGAGAACTTGAGTGTGCAGATAAAAAAGGGACACCAAGTGTTCTTAAAGCGTCACAGAGAGACAGCGTGTACGTGCGGAGCAGGTCCCAGTACTGCAGGGTGTGCCAGGTGATGACGCTGGTCCTCTGCAGAGACGTGCCCTCTGCAGGGGGCCAGAAATGCTCCAAGTACGGTGCGGGGCCGCCAAAGTTCACGTTCAGCTGCGAGGGGACGCGGACCTCCAGGTACGCCGTGTCCAGCCACCACTCCTCCAGCTGAAGGAGATCATCACAAACACCTGTGAGACGAATAAACAAACCCAAACCGGCGTGTGACAGCTCAGCTACAGACCCAGTTCCTCCGAGCGCCGGCTCTCTGCAGCAGTTTCTGGTGCAGCTCTTTGCCAACGCCGTCTTTAAATTTCTCCACGATGTCCAGGGTAGCTTTAAACTCTCCATCGGATGCAAACGGACGAACTGAAGGATTAAAGTTAAAGAGAAGGAAGCCAAAGTGTTTGTGGTGTGGTTCATAACAGACGGTTTACATCTGGCACGGATGAAGAGCAAAGTTAGCTGTGATGCACAGATGTGATTCATTTGCAACTTTGCTTTCAGCCGCCTGATCTGATTTAGTAACACAAAGCCTTTTTCCTCACCTGTGTGTCCATTCTCTTTACAATCACTATAACCGCGTAATTGTTTGACTCAAATATGAAGAATTTAGAAGCAACTGGAGAATCTTTTGAGTTTTAGGAAGGAGGACAACTAGGGATGCAACGATACCACTTTTTTCCAAACCGATACGATGCCGATACTTGGATCTGAGTACTCGCCGATTCCGATTACCATTACCGATACTTCTACCACACAAAAAAATGCAACGATTTGGAATACAGATTTTATTTTCTTCTCTGTTTTCAACAGGAAAAGACTGGGAGGTAGATAAAAAGTAAAATATATGAATAGAAATCATCACAAAACTAAAATATTAGGTGAACAGAAATGACAAGTTACAGTGAAGCCATTTTCAAGCAACTGCATTTGTATCGGTTCCTGGTATTGGTTACCTTTTACCGATACCGATACTGGTATTGGTATGGGTATCTGTGCCGATACAGATACCAGTATCGTATCGGTGCATCCCTAATGACAACTAGTCAGTCTACGATGATGTTTAGAGTATTCATGAAGCATTTTGTAAATATTCAAATAAAATTCTGCAACAGCACCGGGCAGCGGGGGGGGGGGGGGGGGGTGAAAAGGCTCTACTGAAGACACACATCAGCTGATGCCGGCAGGTTAAACGGGCTCGATGCATCAGCCCAACTCTAGATGTAAAGCATCTACGTGCTCACGCAGAAACCTCAACTGGCTCTCGGGTGAAGTTCACGTGAACTTCTCAGGTTATCTTTACCTGACTGTGGAAAAAGGTTTGCAGTGTGTGAGTAAAGAGTGAATCTATCGGAGGGGGGGTTGCAGTAGTGATCTGAGACAAGCAGCAGCAAACACTGACAATCATCCATAAAACAAACATGTGATGCTGTCCTACAGACAAGCTGGTTCCCAAAGTCAGAGACTCTCTTGGTCGGCTTGCTTCCCACACCAAACCTTCTGTCAGGAATCTTGGCGTGACCTTTGACCCAGCTCTCACCCTGGATTCTCATGTCAGTTCTCTTGTTGGCTCTTCCTTCTTCCATCTCAGGAACGTTGCTAAGCTGAGTCCCATTCTGTCCCGCTCTGAACTTGAGACAGTTCTCCACACCTTCATCTCCTCACGCTTAGACTACTGTAACTCTCTTTTCACGTGTCTGAGCAGAACCTCCCTGAACCGTCTACAGGTGGTTCAGAACGCCTGTGCTCGGCTTCTGACCAAGTCCTCCAAACACACCCACATCACCCCGCTTCTCCTCCAGCTTCACTGGCTGCCAGTCAACTTCAGGGTTCATTTCAAGATCCTGGTTCTGGTCTATAGGGCCTTACATGGACAAGCACCATCTTACATTGGTGATCTTCTTGGTCCCTACACCCCCAGCAGGTCCCTGAGGTCCAGTGACCAAAGCTTACTGGTTGTGCAGCACCAGGCTAAAGGTCAAAGGTGACAGATCATCTGCTGCTGTGGCCCCCAGACTCTGGACCTCTCTCCCCCTGAGCCTGAGATCAGTGGACTCAGTGGTCTCCTTTAAAAAGCAGCTGAAGACTCACTTGTTCAAGCTGGCTTTTGGATGACCTTCTTCACCTCTCTCTCTTTATTCTGCTCTCCCCACCTATTCCACCTTCCTCAGGATCCACTGATTTCCCTCTTTCCTGTTCACTCTCTCTCTTTCTTAACATTTTTTTATCACAATTGTCTATTTTTGCTCATTTTAAATATATTTTTAACCATTTTCTAAGTTCTTTTTTTAATATTTTTACATTTTTTGTTTTTATGAAGCACCTCGTGATTTTTTATCCTGAGAGGCGCTGTAGAAATGATATTTTCTTCTTCCTACCTGCATCCAGGTACTTGTTAAGGCTGCCGTCCAGCGTTGGGACGGGCAGCGGCGGTAGACTGTTCTGGTGCTGAAAGGTCCGCTCAGGCACACTCTCTGATGCACTTTTAGCCATTTCTTCTCACTCTGTAACAAACATGGCACCACACAGGTGTGTGGACAGGTGAGACGTGGGTTTGACGCATCTCGTCAAAAGATTGTAGTAAAATTGAGTCCATCAAGCCACCAGATGCGCTACTTACTAAATACATCACAGAACAAAAACCGAGTTTAATAAACGAAACAATAATTCTGGTTAGGGTTAGAAACAGAATCCACAGGTGAACAGATCAGCATCCGTGTTTTCAGAGCTGCGCGTGAACCTCTTTTCTGAACAGTGACGTCACTAATATGATCAAATTTACCATTTTTATCAGTGGAACAATAAAACTATTGATTAATTATTGGTTTTCTTGTGAAAACACTTTTTATCGCTAGCAAGGAGCTGCCGTTAGTTTTAGCCCCTTTAGCCCTAACGGGGCCAGAAAATGTGCAGCTAGCTCACCTTGTGGCGTTAACGTGCGTTGATTTCACCGCATGAGTGCGTGGTTAGGGCTCTTCTGTCGGCTCCGGGAGCGGGAACTGAAGCAGTCGGTGTTGTTGCAGCGGCTAGCTCCCGCTCACCTTTACCCCACTCAGCCGTGCGACAACACCGCACTGCGCATGCGCACATCGTTCTAGCTTGACCTAAATTCTCACGAATAGAATAAAAAAGCTGTTCTGCACCCAAACGCGCTAAAAGCTTACATCTGTAGTCAAAATCTGAAAGTTACACAAATCTAAAACGTTATTTCACGATGCTTTCCTTTTGCAGTGATTGAGATAATGTCTGGGATGTTTGTTTCTGAAGTCAAAAGAAACAGACTTGAGTCAGAGCAGTGGCCTCAGCTGGGTCTCATCTCAGTGGAGCTGTTGTTGAACCAAACCAGGACTTGGAGTAGCTCAGTATGTTTTACATGAGGACTGACACTTTTTAAAAGTGAGATTTGATTTTCTGGGTTTAAATTCTTGGATTGGGGAGGGGGGTTAGTAGGTTTGGCAAAAATGGCACAAATAATCTGGCAGATAAAGTCCAGTTTCAGGGGGCTTGATTAGGATGATGCAAAGGTCCCACTGTGATTTGATTATATTCTATAGAGAATATTCTATGGAGAATATTCTATGAGAGAGATAAGCGGAAATTAGGGCAGATTTAATTTTTCTGCGGTAAAACAAATACTAGATACTGTGATCACTGTTTGCTGTAAAACCACAATGTTAACAAATTATGAGCAAAACATTAAAAAAGGTATTGTGGTGCTTATTTTATTTCATCTGTACAATGTCTCTTTACTACCAGTGAGATTGCACTACAAGTCTGGAATAAAGTAAACTTGATTTGACAAGATGAAGGTGGGGAAAGAAACTATTTTCATTTACTTAAATTTTACTTAAATTTTCACTGTAGAAACCTTTTTTCTTTTAAATGAGTAAAGCTGTAGCATACAGGTGGCGCATTCTTATAATACATTTAGCTAAAACGTCCTGTCAGTATTTATATTGGACACCTAACACATTTACATATTACCTAAAACCTTTTACCTATACAGTAGAAAACTCAAAAGCACTTCCTGCAGAGTCATTCAAAAGAAAGTATACCACTTTAAAACTGCAGGTTTTAAATTTGAGTCAACAGCATAGTTAGTCTAAATGGACGAGCCAGAATGTCATAACTTTTTAAACTCAAATCTATTTTAAATATCTGTGTTCAGCAATAATCAATCAATGAGCTACAGCTGCAGCTAACAGCAGCTAGCTGCAAAACAAACATTTTTTAAAGCTTTATTAAAATAAAAAGGCAACATTTTATTTATTTTCTAAAGACCAAAAGTGCAGTAACACCTTTTAGACACTGGAGGGCAGTACTCCCATTTTCGCTTCTCTAAGTACTGTTGGAGACCGAAGTGTTGTTCTACCTTTAGCCAGCAGAGGGCGGCAATTCTCCATTCTTTAAATGCAACAAGAAGAAAGAACCACTCAAGATAAAAATCACAAGGCGCTTCACAAAAACAAAAATTTAATTTATAAGACAGATTTTTAAAATGATCTAAAAATGTGTTTAAAATGAGAAAAAGTGTGATTAAAAATGGAAGGAAAGGGAGAGAAAAAATGAATGGAAAGAGAGAAATCAATGGATCCTGGGAAAGGTGGAATGAGAACAGAACAAGGAGAGGGTGGTGATGAAGGTCACATTAAAACCTGAACAGGTGATTCTTCAGCTGCTTTTTAAAGGAGACCACTGAGTCCACTGATCTCAGGCTCAGGGGGAGAGAGCTCCAGAGTCTGGGGGCCACAGCAGCAGATGATCTGTCACCTTTGACCTTTAGCCTGGTGTGCTACAGCCAAATCAAATGTTTCTAAGTAAGTCTGGTAAAAGTCTCTTTAGACAAAGAATAGTAAAAAAATAAAATAAAAACTGCAATTCTATTTGGTCACTGTCTACTTCAAATTACAATAAAAATGAAAAGGTAATTAAATAAATAAATCTCAAACTTTATGGGCGCTGGGATTCAATTTAGGAGCGCTTCAGCCCAAAAGCATGGCTAGAGACATCTGTGGTTTTCAACTTTGCTCTGTGACATTTCCACACGTCATACATTTGCAGCTGAAATACTTAAAGACATTTATGGAAATCAAATTTGATGCATTGCTAATAGGATGATTTGTGTTTTTGTTCATGCAAAGAATAACTTGCTGAAATAAAGTCTATTTAATTCTGGTGACGAGACTGCTGATTATTTCCTTTTAAAACTGTGCACCAACGTGAGAGTTGTGCATGCTAATCAGCTTTGGTTCAGCTTTGCAAGAACAACTAAGTTTTTGTATCAAGATGCCAACTAGTCAGTCTTTTCTTCTCTTTAATAAAACTAAGAGCATTTTAAAACACCCTTCTAGTAAAACTAAAGTTGCAGTAAAAAATGAAGCCCTTACCACAAAAAAAGATCAAAGAAGTTTATTTTTGAGCACACTTGTTTTCTCTTTTGATTTCAAGATCAACTTTTTATTGCGGTTATGTACTGCTGACCTTCAGTCATGCACATTTGAGCCTAATTCATAAACAAACCACTAATGTTATAAAACCTATGCAGGCCTCCTGGAACACAAGACAAACAGCAGCTTCACCTCCAGCCTCTTTGTTCCGTAAAAACCTCACATCCCATATTTGCTGATAATTCCATTAGCTTCTGTGATGTACGTTGCCATGGCATCATCCTTGGACATTCCTGAGTCGATGAAAAAGACTCCAGTTAGAAACAAGACAGAATGAATCCGTTTCTGTTTGAGTGGTCACAATCAATGCAAAATTGAAATAAAGTTGAAATGCATTCATTCACTGTTACCTTTTCTGGATTGCCAGGCATCCCACTTGGCTTTTCCTGTTGGGTCTACCGTTGGTCTTTCTACGGACCACACAGAATACGATAAAATGGTCAGAATTTAAAGCATCAAATGGAAATCAATCCATTTGTGTGCATCGGCTCACCAGTGTTAACGTCTCCGACTAGGACCTGTTTATAGAGACCGTACAGAGTCAGCAGCTCCTCATTTGTAGGCTGCGTTTTCACCTTCTTCACATCGTCCGCTACCTTCTTAAACTCTACCTGCAACAGAAATAAATGTTCAGAATTAACGTTCTTGTAAACACCTGTCAGGTTAGACAGATTAATCCATCCCAAACAAAAAAGAAAAGAGGCACCAATAAGGAGAAAACCGCTCCACACACAGTAGTCTAGCCCAGAGCAATGCCTGGGAAACAAACTTGCTCAAGCTGGACGTAAACAAAGAACTTTCATTCAAGACTCTGGTGCTTTTGTGCCGGCATGAATAATCAGCTTTACAAAGAATCTGGGACATTGCAGAGCTGATCATTATTGCCCTCTTTAGGATGAATAACCCCACCTTCCAAAAAATGCATAATTTATTATTTTTTATCCTTATTATTATTATCAGATTTATCATTAAAAACTGAGTCTCTGTCAACAATCACAATCTTGTTAGTTATTTAGAATTTAAATCTTATGCTCATTCAGCATCAGGGCCAAAAACCACAGGAGGAACCGAGTGAACCTGTTATTTTTTTTCCCAAAGATGGATGATGCCAAACATCTGCTAGAGATGATGTCATGAAGACCCAAATGAGCTAAACTAATTAAATAAAAGCAGAAATGTCAGGAGTTTACCTCGAGGGCCATCTCGGTGGAAGCAGACACGGAGTGCAGCTTGGGGTGTCGGTTCCGGAAGGTCCAGAGCAGTTGTGATTGCACCACAGCTGACCAAAGCAATATTTATCAGCTGAGGGCTGCAGAGGAGGGGGAGGACGGAGAGATGAGCTGCAGATCTGAGCGCTGATTGGTTGCAGGACACGCGCGTGCGCACAAACGCATTCGCGCAGAGAAACGTGTAGTATGTATTATAGGGAAACTTTTGCTTCATAAAGCGCTTTGTAACAATAGAGGCGGTTCCTTCAGTGCTAGAGGGAGCAGATTATCATTTTTAAATAAAGTTTGTGCATTCAAACCAAGATGGCGGCCTCCTACTTTCCCCGTGGTGTTGGTCTCAAACGTGTACGCTACTTCTAAATCTGCGTCTACATTATTACAGGTAAGTTCATTTTGGGTTTCAACCCCATTATTGTTGAGTTTATTTGTGTTTAAGACGGAACTGATTTGGCTGTTTTGGGAGGGTTTCTTCATAGATGTGTTTATATGCATATCTATGGGATTCTGGTGTCTGCCGCTGAAATGTTTCATCCACAACTTCCGGTTCCGGTTGCGCCTCGTTTTTGGAATTCTGTGCGAAGTTGGTGTTTGATTTTGAAAAGAGTTTGGACTATGACGCATTAAGGACACAGAGAAAGGATTACGGATTTTTATTTAGAAGCTGGACACTTTAATTTAAAAAGAAGGCTGCCGTGGTAGGTTGGACTGGAGCTAGCCAGAAGATCCAGTTTACTCATAAGTGATGCCTGCTGAAGGAAAGCACGCCAACACACACTTCAGGGACCATACATTTGTAAATAAGTGTGATAACTTATCCTGAAGTTACCAGAAAGTTCCTAATTCGTTTGGTTTGTTTATCCCAGTTTCTCTTGTTCTGGTTTCAGACATGGCAACCAAAGAAAAGTCCGCAAAGAAAGCCAGAAAGCACGTTCCAGCCAAGACCTCCTTCACGTCTCCACTGAGTGTAGGCTGGAGCTCGCTTCCTCAGGGTCATGCGCATTTCATCCTGAAAACCACAAAGGACAAACTGATCTCCACGGGTCTGATGAAAAAGGAGGTCAAAGTGCTGCGGCCACGGAAGAAGAGGGAAAAGGGGGGCTCCCTTTCCAAAGCAGAGCCTGCTCCCCAGGTGAGTCAGGTGGGGGATCCCATCAGGAACGGCTGGACAGATGTGGCGGCCAGACGACAGCTGGCCATCGGCATCAACGAGGTCACCAAGGCTCTGGAGAGGAACGAGCTCCAGCTGCTGCTGGTCTGTAAGTCCGCCAAGCCTCAGCACATGACGAACCACCTGATAGCCCTGAGTGTGACCCGAGGCGCGCCGGCCTGTCAGGTGCCTCGGCTGAGCGAGACCGTGTCGGGACCTTTGGGGCTGAAGAGCGTCCTCGCTCTAGGATTCAGACGGAGTTCTTCTGAAGACAACCAGGTGTTTACAGATGTCATTGATGCCATCAAACCAAAGGTGCCTCCGCTGGATGTTGCCTGGCTACAGAATGCATCATCCAGAGGGACTCCTGAACATCCTGCCGGTCAGGAAGATGGCCCAAGAGGCCAGAAACGGAAACTGGAGAGTGAATCTGAGAAGCACACAGAGAGTCCCCCCTCCCCGTGTTCTCTACAGCCTCTCAAAGTAAAGAGAATTATTGCTAATCCTGCAAAGAGACGCAAACAAAAGCCCAAGAAAAAGCCTGTGAAATGAAAACGGCTTGATGGTAGCATTAGGAAGTGCTGGTGTTTTTCCAGATGATGTCAGATTGTGACACACCTGCTGCCTAGCCTCGGCGTGGACATGGGTTTATGTTCCTCCAACATCGGACGCCTAAAGGGTTAAAAACAATCCCTGTTGTCCGGTATTCTGGTTTCCAGCTGATCGTTGTCATCCGAACGCTGAGGTGTCCTTTTATGTGGTTCAGTATTCCGCTGAGATCCATCTCAGATAATAATAATAATAGTAAAGATACTAAAACAAGCTCGAGTAAAAACTCTTTGCTGTTTGTCTTTCAGAGGTTAGATTTGATTTTAGTTGTGATAAAGAAACCACTCCCATGATTTCTGTTGCAGAAGAGCAAAAATACCGAAACCGCTTCTTTAATGATCCACGTACAGCAAAAGAAATGTGTGAAAATGGTTTTTCTATTGATAAAATAAAAAATACGTCATTATTTCCTTATTTGGATCCATTAGAGGACCAAATTGTGTTTTTTTTTTTATTTTTGGTGTGATACCAAACAACTGCTTCTTTTCCACAGAAGTCATTTTTTACATAATTTAGTCCACAGTGAGCTGCTGCATTTGATCCAACGAGTGTTCCTGACTGGGATGGATTTAAACCAAAGGCTGTTTTAAAGATGACTTGATATTGTTGAAAAAGCCTAAAGCCCGTCGTCAGGTTTAGATCGATTTCACCCGAGTCCTGCTTATGAAACATAAAGAGCAAGTCACCCCCTACCAGAGTATTACTCCACTCCCACTTCCTGTTTGAAAAATGCGACAAATGCTGTTGCCTAGCCGACCGAGGGGGCGGAGCTGCTAACAAATACACACACACAGGCCCACGACATTGTGACATCATATGGTACCAGCTAACGTCATAGGGTACCTCTTAGCCAATATATTCAATTTTGAGCTATTCGTACCAAAGCTGATCTATTGCTAAAAACTTGTAGGATTTACTAACACATTACTATATACATCCTGCAGTTAATGTGAGTGAAATACAATGTACTACTAATATGCTACTACTTAAGTATATCAGTCAAAACTTTAAATATAAGTACAATCTAAATATGCTTGGCTTTTAGTAAACTTCTTAGTATAAGCCTGTTAGCATACTTTAAGCATAAGTAACCAATTTTGCTAAGTATATCTCCAAGTATGTATACTTGGAGTAAACTAAAAGTATACTCGCTAATTTTTAGTTTACAATTAGTATACTTAAAGTACACTTGCATATACTACTTTTTGGTAAGGGGATGGCAGATTTAAATTCAAATGTAGTGCAGAGTTTTTACCGGACAACGGCACAACACTACTTAAGAGCTAATCACCCCCCTACCAGAGTATTACTCCACTCCCACTTCCTGTTTGAACAATGTAACAAATGCTGTTGCCTAGCAGACCGAGAGGGCGGAGCCACTAACAAATACACACACACACACAGGCTCACAACGACATTGTGACATCATATGGTACCAGCTAATGTTCTAGGGTACCTCTTAGCCAATAGCGATGGCAGATTTAAATTCAAATGCAGTGCAGTTTTTTTACCTGACAACGGCACAACACTGACAGTTTTAGGCAGAAATTTTAAAATTTAACTAAAATGCACTAAAGTGCAAAACTATTGACGACACGCGTCTGCAGCACGATTAGACACACATTTATATAGTTTATCAGGAAAAAAAGCTGATTGGGGTGACTTGCTCTTTAAATATTATGTTATCTTTAGTTTTAGATTTATTTTACGAGTTTTGAAACAAACGCCACTCAAATGTCCGTTTAAAGTAAGTTTATTCAGTCAAATATCCATGCTGGTATAGCTGATGTGGTGAAACAGATTATTTGCACAGGGGTTGTGTTTAAATGATGCTGGTACAAGTCCTTCAGCTTTTTCACAGTTTACAATAGTACTGAATAAAAATATGGTTCCCAAGTGAATCTGTGTTTCTTGTCTAACGTCTGAATCATCAATAAAGGCAGATTTCACGCGTTTCCACCAAAATGTGATGCTTGGGTGAAACGTGGCAGCTGCACTGACCTGCTGGAAGGTCGTTCACACTCATCTGCAACCGGAGCATCCAGGAGGCACGCGGCTGACTCGGTTTTCAGAGCTAAACGAAAACAAACAGCAGCTATGGGAACAAACACTGAAGCATCTACTGACCACTCTGTCCTTTTGTGGCTGATTCATAAAGGGATGCAAGAAAAACTGAGCAGGAAGTAAAGTCAGACCGATATTCTAAATGTAGACTTGTTAACAGGTCAGCAGCTTACCCTAAAACTGGGTTCTGATAACCTTTAACAAACTCAAGTCACCAGTTTTGTGCGGGGATGTTTTTTAGGCTGGCTGGTGTGGCGGGACACTTTAAAAGGTACATTTACAGAGAAAACATTTAGTTGCATAACAGACAAACTCAAAGTGATCCGTGGATGTTTTCTATCAAAAAAATACAAGAAATTCAGAAAATATAAAACTACAAACATGGCTGATGTCTCCAGATTTAACTAAGGGCCCGTTTACCATCTGATATCAGACTTCTGCCGCTTTTTTTCACAGACGATCCGAGTAGCGGCGACAGCACTGATAACAGGAGTCTGGACTGATGGCGCTCCTGCTACCTACTAAATAAACCGTCCGGGTTTTCCTCGTGTTTCTGCGTCAGCTGCTGATTTCCTCACGGCCTGTCGGCGCCGCCTTCTTCTAGCAGCCTTTTCTAAACAAACCTGAATGCGTAAACGTGGCGTTTCCACCTCACAACAAAAACAGCTCAGGTCGGCTGTAAAAACCAGAGCGTGTCACACAACGCGGACCCTTCTGTAACTCGGTAAATTGTGCTTGTCGATGCAATACATTCTTTATAAAAAAACACAAAATAAACAGACGTAACACGTGAAAATGCTTTGAACGGATCAGTCCTACCAGACTTTACTCTGAATGTAAACAATGTTGTTTCAACAAACGTGTGCATCATTAGCTTCTTCGATGACGTCACTGGTCTAGATATTTGTACCTGGGATGCAGGAGGAAGTGTTTCTTTTTGCCTCAGGAACTTCCTTTGAGAGGTTTCAGGCCTGCAGGTGGTCCAGTCAGCCGACCGCCGACACGGACTTGGAAAAGGGATTAGACACGGAGCTGCAGCACGCTAACGGCTAGGAGAAGGGTGGCGAGATCGTCAACAACTCGTGTTTTCTGGTTTACGTGGAATCTAAGGGGGGCACCAGCCCCCCCGTGGAGATGCTTGCTGAGGATGAAGAACTATAAACAAAACTCACAATGCCAAGGCATCCTGCTGAACCGTTTTTGTTTGTTTCAGGTGCGGTAAAGCGTGTCAGCAGCGTTGAAGGATATCTCAGGCATAGCATGACTTTCACATTCAGGGTGATGGTTTCAGTTTTCACCACCAGGTGAGCTGAGAATGTTCTTGGTGACACAAGCGCTGGAGAATCACCACTCGGTCGCCAGGTTGGATTTTTACCGTCCTCGATGACCTGCAGGTCCAGTCAGGGAACATCAGGAGGTTCAGAACAACCGTGTGAGGCTGAGCTGCAGCTGTGGAGAGAGCTGCTACTGAAGGACAAGGCCCACCTGGAACACAAACATCAGCAGGTTATCAGCCCAGTTTTCACTTCTAACAACTAAATGCTGTTCTGGGCTGCAAAACCTGTAATAATAATTCTCTTGTTGTGGTTTGAAGTTCTCCACCAATGTAGCTCCAAGCCTCACCTTGTGTTTAACAATCAAGTGCTGTGAGACTGGTCCTTCCCCACACCAAAGTCAGCCTCCCACCCTCATCAGGCTGCCTGCACAGCTGACCGATCTACCGAGGACACCATAATCACCTCCGTTCACACGACAACTCCGAAAACCAGAAGAGCTATGCGACGAAGCTCTTTGTTGACTTCAGCTCAACACAATCATACCAGACGTTAAAGAGCAAGTCACCCCGAATCTACTTTTTTTTCTGATAAACTATATAAATGTGTGTCTAATCGTGCTGCAGACACGTGTAGTCAATGGTTTAGCACTTTAGTGCATTTTAGTTAAAATTTTCTGCCTAAGGTTGGTTTATGCTTGACGCGTCGGCAAGGTCCGCACGGCTCCGCGCAGAAAAGTTGCATCATTTTGCATAATTTTAACAACCGCGCCTCCGCACGGCCCAGAATTTCCGCAACGCGCACCTCGGAAAATTTCTAACCACGCGGACGGACGGAAAAACATGGCGGACCGGCAAGAACTAGTATGGCAGAGGTTGGTAAATACAGACATTTGTATGACTCAGCTCTCAGAGATCACCGTGATCAACATGTTGTTAATAATTCTTGGAGAGAAATAGCTCGCACTGTCGGAAAAGACGAGGACGCTGTTAAAAATGCTGGAATGCCATGTTGTAAACAGTAATTTCTACTTCTACTATGGTGTAGTGTTGGATGCATGCTGTAGAGCTCCATGCTGCCCCCTACAGTTTGGGAGAAACTGGCTCACCGCAGAGACAAGCCGCATGAACCATAAACGCTGCGAGTTGTGAAGCGCGTTCCATCCGCGAGCCGCATCACCGCGCGGAAAGTAAATGCGTCAAGCATAAACCAAGCTTTACACTGTCAGTGTTGTGCCGTTGTCAGGTAAAAACTCTGCACTGCATTTGAATTTAAATCTGCCATCGCTGTTGGCTAAGAGGTACCCTAGAACGTTAGCTGGTACCATATGATATAATATTTTATATTTATTTATATTTTTATAATTCAAAATAATCACTGAAGAAAGAAGATTTTATGATTAAACATTACATATTTCCATGTATAATTAAGCAATGAAATGTTCATGAATCTGTACTCAAGGATTGTTTACGTATGTTTACAGGATGAGGTCATCATCACACCAGACAGAGAGTAAGGTTAAGATAAGAACGCATGACACATAACTAACCTTGTCCCTAGACTCAGAGACTCTGCGTCTCAGAGCGTGTTTCTGAGGTTCTTGGTAAGTTTGGTCATAGATAACAGCGGGTACATAAACCAGCCGCTCTGCTTTCTCGTCAGTCGAGAGAGAACGCTGGAGACTGGCCATCTCTTAGCAGATCTCTAGCTCAGAAAGATTTCGACACGCTGTCAGAACCTTAAAGCTTTTGCACCTGCGAAGCTGAACAACAAGATAGTTTTCCTGCAGAACAAAGCTGACTCAAACTCCTTCAGAGTTGATTTGAAGACGCTTGGTTCCATTCATCTATCGTTGTGACCCGGAGGCATCTGAGGACCGATTTGGTGGCATCGAGGTTTCTCTACGAACCAGGTGCAGCGGGGTCGTCGGCTCCTGGACATCTCGGATCCAGTCGAGGTCTCCAAATGGGTGAGGTAGACACAACGAGATAGCGTTTGCATGTGGTTCTGATAATAGCAACTTAATAGTTTAGATGCAAACCAAACTCTTTTATCCAGAACGCACCTCTCTGAAGATACGGAGATTCTGATTCATCATCTCACATTCACACAGTTTTCAGACGCCCGTCTTTTAGTGCCGTCCACTCACAGGATGATAGTTTAAACCGTTTGTTAAGTCTTAATTGTGTCTACATAAATGTAAAATAAATTCTTATTTGTTTGCTAACACCGACTGGTTCTTGAATCATAAACAAAGTGTGAACGATCCCTTAACAATTAAAAGAATCCTAGAACCTTCTAATTAATCATCCGAAGACCAAGCAAGGCGATGTTCTATAATTAATAGAGTATTACAGCTATTGGTCACAAGTAATGAGAATAGAAATAAATAGCTCTAAGCAATTTATTTATCCAGTTACCCCCTATCTGATTCATTACACATATGATATCACAATGTCATTGTGTGTGTGTGTGTGTGTGTGTGTGTGTGTGTGTGTGTGTGTGTGTGTGTGTGTGTGTGTGTGTGTGTGTGTGTGTGTGTGTGTGTGTGTGTGTGTGTTTGTTAGCAGCTCCGCCCTCTCGGTCTGCTAGGCAACAGCATTTGTTGCATTTTTCAAACAGGAAGTGGGAGCGGAGTAAGACTCTGGTAGGGGGTGACTTGCTCTTTAAACTGCTGGTCCTAGGTCTGCACTTCCACATCTGCTCGACCCCCCCCCATCACCGTTTCTAAGGACTTCACCTGGTCACAAAACATCACCTTATTGATGAGGAGAGCACAGCAGAGCCCGTCCTTCCTCAGGAGGAATAATCTGAAGAGGAAGCTGTTGGTGACGTTCTACCGGGAGAGCATGCTCCAGTGCGGCGCTGCTGCTGCAGATAAGAAGGTCCTGCAGAGTCAAAAGATCACTGTCTGTCCTCTGCACTCCCCTAGAACTTCTCGCCAACTCACGCAACACCAGCAGGGCCAAGAACATCACCCATGACCCCTTCCACCCCAGAAAGCACTTCTTTTGAGCTCCTGCCATCAGGAAAGCTCTACCGGGCCTCAAAAAGAAGAACCACCAGCAGAGCGAAGGACAGCTTCTACCCCACAGCAGTGAGGACAGCAAGCAAACTCGAATCTGTAACGTTCCAGGAACATGCTGCTGACCTTCTCAGGGTCCATAGGGGGACATTTCCAGTTGTAGAGGTAATACTGCATATTTCCGTCTCCTATGCCAAACTTCAGCTTCTCCAGAAACACCTTATTCTCCATCAGATCCAAGGCGTTGAAAACATCAAACCCTTTCTGTTCAAAAAGCACAGAACAGGAATCAGGGTGAGACTTTAAATGCAACGAACCTAAACTCTAAAGAGGTTATTCGTTTTTACCACTTTGGCCAGGATCAGCGCATCGCTCATTAAGTCCGGTAGCGGTGTTTTCGTGTGAACGTTGTAGAAAGAGTAAGCTGCCTTCAAGCTCCTGTGGAGAGGATGGTCCATCACGGTGGAGGGTAACGTGTAGAAACTAGTAAAATCTGTCAGCACGCCGCCAGCGCCCTGCACAGCCAAACAAACATCAGCATTTATTTGAATTCATTTATCGGGGGTCATTCGCGTGAGGGCCTCGAGCATCATACCTCTACTACATATGTGTCTATTATGTTCTCCTGTGGGAGAAACCAGTGAGCAACCTCCTCTTCTCCCATCGAAGGTGCGAGCTGGAAGCCTCTCAGGTACTTTTGCAGCAGCTCAGTGACCTGGGGGACGTCACGCCTCTCCATCGGACGCAGACCTGCGGTTCTGATGCTCTACGTGGGACGGAGCACACGAGGAGAAGTGTGAAAGTGGCGAACGGGTGTGACGGTGAGACTGTGGGCTGAGAGGCGGGGGTGTTTACATCAGGTAATCTGTAGAATTTCATGGTTCTTTGCAGGGTCATGTTTCTGCTCAGATGGGAGAATTTCACTTCCACCAGTTTTCTGGGGTTCAACGAGCGATGCCAGTACCTGGAGAGACGAACAGAAGCTGCTGCGCACCTGAAGCCACGACCTGGACTGTTCCTGATCATACCTGCACGTGGACACGGGTTTGGGCAGCACGACTCCAGCCGTGTAAACCGCCTGGAAAACTCCCTCCAGGTTCACCCTCCGCGTTATCTCTCTGATGAGCACGGGAGCAACGCGCTTCGAGCGCAGCTTCATGTGAACGCACAGGAAGTTGATTTCCACCATCTTCTTTATCCTGCAGCAACAGAGACAAAGAGCATGGACCGTGCATTAAAGCAAAAGGCTTTCCATTAACCGTCCCACAAGTGTACACGTGCTGAGCTCAGAGTGCTCACGTGTCACAGATGCGTATGTCTGCAGGGACGGCGCTGATGAAGCCAACCAGCTTCCTGTTGGAGGACACCCTGACTCCACAGTGCCACTGCGGTAACCAGCCGGGTGGACGCAGAGCCCTTCAAAACATCAACAACAGACTTTTAGCACAATGAAGAATGTAAAATGACATAAATATAAACCAGCTGCTTACCATCTGAGGAAGCCTGGTGAATAATCAAATCTGAACATGTTATAATCGTCCTCTACGTAGTTTTCATTTAACAACGTATACAACTCCTTCAGCTGGAAAAAAGAAAACACAACATTGCAAATAGTGGCTTCGGACATGAAGGTGTGTCTAGTTACCTTTTACACGCTTCGACCGTCGTCTGCGTTCTTCTTCAGAGGTGTCACAGGTGTTTGTGTGACGCTTCTTTATCAGTGGGCGCGACCGACCTGGATCTGTCAGATCCGGGTCGGTCGCGCCCACCTCCGCTGACTGGTCTTCGGAGAAGGGAATCCCAGGTGCGAGACAGCTGACGGGCCCCCCTCGTCTCTGTTCATGTTCCCGTTTCCTTATTTCTACAGCCTCCCTGACCCAACGTTTGAACCGGTTGTTCTCCGTGCAACGTAATCTACAAAATACCCCGCATGTCGTGCAGTAAAACATGCACGGGGGAAACCGGCAGAACATGTGACACAAGAAGAAACGAGCATCAGAAGGAACGCGAGAAGGAAACAACAGAAAGACTCACAAGGACAACAAAGAAAAAAGCAGAGGAGCAAACCCTCAAGTCCGCCATCTCAGATCATCGCATCACGGACCGGGATCAAGGGAAAACGATCAACACAGAAGAACAGCTGATAAAGACGCGTCACACAAACACCTGTGACACCTGTGAAGAAGACTGCAGACGACGGTCGAAACGTCGTCGTCGTCGTCGTCGTCTTCCTCCGCTTATCCGGGTCCGGGTCGCGGGGGCAGCATCCCGACTAGGGAGCTCCAGGCCGTCCTCTCCCCGGCCTTGTCCACCAGCTCCTCCGGCAGGACCCCAAGGCGTTCCCGGACCAGATTGGAGATGTAACTTCTCCAACGTGTCCTGGGTCGACCCGGGGGCCTTCTGCCGGCAGGACATGCCCGAAACACCTCCCCGGGGAGGCGTCCAGGAGGCATCCTGACCAGATGCCCAAACCACCTCAACTGGCTCCTTTCGATCCGGAGGAGCAGCGGTTCTACTCCGAGTCCCTCCCGAATGTCCGAGCTCCTCACCCTATCTCTAAGGCTGAGCCCGGCCACCCTACGGAGGAAACTCATTTCGGCCGCTTGTATCCGCGATCTCGTTCTTTCGGTCATTACCCAAAGCTCATGACCATAGGTGAGGATTGGGACGTAGATCGACCGGTAAATCGAGAGCCTGGCTTTCTGGCTCAGCTCCCTCTTCCCCACGACAGATCGGCTCAGCGTCCGCATCACTGCAGACGCCGAACCAATCCGCCTGTCGATCTCCCGATCCCTCCTACCCTCACTCGTGAACAAGACCCCGAGATACTTAAACTCCTCCACTTGAGGTAGGACCTCTCCCCCGACCCGGAGGTGGCAAGCCACCCTTTTCCGGTCGAGAACCATGGTCTCAGATTTGGAGGTGCTGATCCTCATCCCAGCCGCTTCACATTCGGCCGCGAACCTACCCAGCAAGAGCTGAAGGTCAGAGCTGGATGAAGCTAGGAGGACCACATCATCCGCAAAAAGCAGAGACGAGATTCTCCTGCCACCAAACTCGACACACTCCACACCACGGCTGCGTCTAGAAATTCTGTCCATAAAAGTGATGAACAGAACCGGTGACAAAGGGCAGCCCTGGCGGAGTCCAACCCTCACTGGGAACAGGTCCGACTTACTACCGGCTATGCGGACCAAACTCACGCTCCTCTGGTAAAGGGACTGAATGGCCCTTAACAGAAAGCCACCCACCCCATACTCCTGGAGCGTCCCCCACAGGGTGCCCCTGGGGACACGGTCATAAGCCTTCTCCAAATCCACAAAGCACATGTGGATTGGTTGGGCAAACTCCCATGCCCCCTCCATCACCCTTGCAAGGGTATAGAGCTGGTCCACAGTTCCACGGCCAGGACGAAAACCACATTGCTCCTCCTCTATCTGAGATTCAACTATCGATCGGACCCTCCTCTCCAGTACCTTGGCGTAGACCTTTCCAGGGAGGCTGAGGAGTGTGATCCCCCTATAGTTGGAACACACCCTCAGGTCACCCTTCTTAAAGATGGGGACCACCACCCCGGTCTGCCACTCCCTAGGAACTGCCCCCGATGACCACGCAATGTTGTAGAGACGTGTCAACCATGACAGCCCTACAACATCCATAGCCTGTAGTTGTGTAGTTGTGTAAAAGGTAACTAGAAACACCTTCACGTCCGAAGCAAGAGAACCTGTTTAATATTTACAAGGAGGACATAATGAACATTGTAAAGGATTGCAAATGTTTACGATTCACACGTGAACATTTAAAACAAGATCTCTACTTACTACATCTGCATTACCGAGGTCCAGCGTGTCCCACATAAAGCCTTGAGGTAAAGAATATGGCTCCTGTCTGATGTTTTCTTTGTCAGCTTCAATCGGCCCGTGAGTCGTCACAACTTCATCTGCAAAAACGGATAACTCGCAGGTAAAATCCTACCGTCCAATCGCAGCACAGAGTCACTCCCGACACGATACAAGTCACACAAAGCGTCTCACTTTTGTAGAAACGTAACAAGAACAAGACAACAGCTGACGGCATCAGCTGGCTGTGTCCACCAGGCCGGCCTGTGACGGGAGACCTGACTCTGGTTGTCATGGAAACGGTTTAATCTGATGCCACCTAGCACTGAAAAACCCAGAGCCCCACTGTATGCCACAGCTGTTGGGATTATGGGATGGACAGTTGAGTGAGCACATAAAACGTATCAAGATGCCGATGAAAGAAATCAGCTGACTGCAAACACAAGGTTACTGAATAAATCCAGCTTTAAAACCAAAGTCTAACAACTGATTTACATTTAAAAGATTTTCTGCTCTTTTTACCTCGTCAAGATGATTCGTTGGAACTTTAAATGCTATTTCAACGTGTAAAATAGTGATAATAGGGTTAGACAGAAACACACTTTGCCACGGTCCAATAAAAATCGCTGTTTTCCACGCTACTCGGTTTTAGTGGACACTTACTTAACTTTGGGACGGGCTGGGTGTCCCAGAACTGGTACTTGTGCTTGGCTGCCTCATCGACGCTCCTTGCTGGACCCTGGCAGGACAGCAACTCCATGGCTCTTTGGAAGTACTGCATGTTATGAATGGGCAAGCCAGGGTTCTGAGTTTATGAAATTCGTATTTAAAACAAGAGACAGACTAGTTAATAAACTGAGATGTCAAACGCTTAAACATGAGAATTACAACCGTTCTGCAGAAACCTAAAGGTGTGTTGCCTGTTTAAGAGGACTGACTGCTGCTGGTTCTCTTTCGTGTGTTTGTTATCTTTAATGAGGAAAAAGCAGCTGAAGTGACCTGTCACTCAGACGCCTGCCTCCCTGAAGCTCTCAACAGGAGCTTATAAACAAAACTAAATAAATAAAGATGAATTGCTTTCTTGTTGACTTTGTTTCCATATAATCAGAAGCTCAGGTTTGGCCTCTGACTTTATGAGTGACTAACTTTGTGGTGAGTGGTGTATCTGAATGTGGTTTCACCTCTAAATGACCAGGTGTGTCCTTTAGGCTTTGGCTCGAACCTCACCCCCCACCCACTAATGACAGCTTCCTTTAGGCTCTGGTTGAGATCATCCCACCTTTATCTCCTGAGAATCGGACGCAGAGTCAGATTTGGCTCCCCCCGAGCTGGGCTTCTCTTTTTTCCTCTTCTGTTTCTTCTTCTTCCTCTTGGCCCCCAGGTCTACCCCCGGACTGCTGTAACGACCAACACAAACGCGCAGAGCTAACCCTTAGCTGCCATAGCAACGACTGACAGCTGAGCTACTTGCTGTTAGCCGGGTTTGCCCCAACACCGATGACATTCAGGTTGGACCCTGGCGGCACGTAACACTCACACCGGCTGTTAATAAAATCAAACACACAAAGCCACACACACTCTCAGAACAACACGCCACACTTTAAAGCAGCCTGTTAACCGTTTGGTTACGTTTGTGTCCGCTAACGTTAGCTAGCTAGCTGCGCTAGCCGCTCGGAAAGGCCATCCTCACCCCTGCATTAGCTCGTTCTCCTCCTCGTTGTCCCCGTCTATCCCGCATGTGTCCTGGTCGTCCAGCTCCAGGCTCTGCTGACTGGCCGCGGATTCACTGTCCTCCGCCATGGGAAAAAATGTTTTAAAACAGCGAGCCGCCGTTTGGGAGGGCTCGGACAGCGGGCGAGATGGAAAAAAAACAAAGAAAATGTCGGAGGAAACAGCGCCGCCTGGACGCCATAGGAGGGAACGCAGAGATGAAGTCCGTAGAAGAGTTTTAAAACCAGAATTAGCGCGATTATAATCTCCAGATTTACCTCCAGATTCTATTATTTCTGGGTTCAGGAAAAGTCGACTGAACTTTGAACTTGAGCTTTATTAATGCGAGCTGGTTAACAAACCAACCACGTGATCAAAACAGTGTCATGGTTTGATTTTAACTTGCACAGGTTATGTAACTGCTGTTGCTGTTTATTTCTTCATTTCTTTTGAAAGGTAAAGTCCTTTAGGTTTTTTTAAATCCACAATTTTACACATTCTAAACATTTAAATTAGTCAGAACAAACATAAAAACAAAGCCACAGCGAAGAGGATGTTCAATAAACACCAGAACTAAATGCACTAGATTGACATCCCTTAAAGAGCAAATCATCCTCAAATCAACCGGTTTTTTTTCTGATAAACTATATAAATGCGTGTCTAATCGTGCTGCAGACACGTGTAGTCAATAGTTTTGCACTTTAGTGCATTTTCCGGAACTGCGCTGCTCTGGGTGGCTGCATGTTGGAGTAGCTCTGTTGACTATATGTAAGTTTTGCCTTTTTTGGACATTTTTTCCTCTAGTTTCTCAAAGAAACTGTATCTTTTTGACATTTTACTTTTCTGTTTCTGGTGCTGTGAAGCTTAAGAGGATTTTTACTACAATTTATTCTCTTTTTTTCCACTTTTTGAGCATTTGTTATAATGCGTAACCATGGTAACAAACTGGTTTACAATCGGGAGCAGCGCTAAAACGCAAGAAGCGTGGGTGCAGAGCAGGAGCAAAACAGAGACAGAGAAAACGGAAATTCAAACCATCTCTTCCATCGATCATAATGGGCAATGATAAATCAGGTGCTGGTCAACATCAGAAGCAGGGACCTGAAAAGGCTCAACAGCCTAATAAAAAAGGCTGGTTCTGTTCTGGGGACGACTGTGGAACCGCTGGAGGAGATAATGCAAAGAAGGATTCTCCAGAGAATCAAGAACATGATGGACAACCCTGAGCATTCTCTTCACAAGACTGTCCGACAACGGAAGAGTGTCTTCAGTCAGAGGCTTCTTCAGTTTGGCTGCAACACTGACCGCTACTGGAGATCCTTCCTGCCAACAGCCATTGTAATATACAACTCTTTGATGACTTGATTATTATTATTATTCTGAGCTACTACAGGAATCAATTTCCCTCTGGGATTAATAAAGTATTTTTGAACTGAAATGAGTTAAAATTTTAATTTTTTTGCCCAAAACTGTCAGTGTTGTGCCGTTGCCATGGTAAAAACTCTGCACTGCATTTTAATTTAAATCTACCATTGCAATTAGCTAAGAGGTACCCTAGAATGTTAGCTGGTACCATATGATGTCACAATGTCATTGTGAGCCTGTGTGTGTGTGTCTTTGTTAGCTGCTACACCCTCTCTGCTAGGCAACAGCATTTGTTGCATTTTTCAAACAGGAAGTGGGAGTGGAGTAATACTCTGGTAGGGGGTGACTTGCTGTTTAATTAAAGGAGGGTTTGTGTTTAAAGAGTAATTCACCCCCAAATCAACCTCTTTTTGCTGATAAACTATATAAAGGAGTGTCTAATAGTGCTGTAGTCAATATTTTGGCACTTTAATGCATCCTAGTTAAAATTTAAATATTCTGCCTAAATCTGTCAGTGTTGCGTCGTCCTCAGGTAAAAACTCTGCACTACACTTGAATTTAAATCTGCTACTGCTATTGAAGAAGAAGAAAATATCATTTCTATAGCGCCTCTCAAGATAAAAATCACGAGGCGCTTCACAAAAACAAAAAACGTAAAAATATAAAAAAGTATTTAGAAAATGTTTAAAAATATATTTAAAATGAGCAAAAAGAGACAATTGTGATTAAAAAAAATGTTAAGAAAGAGAGAGAGTGAACAGGAAAGAGGGAAATCAGTGGATCCTGAGGAAGGTGGAATAGGTGGGGAGAGCAGAATAAAGAGAGAGAGGTGAAGAAGGTCATACAAAAGCCAGCTTGAACAAGTGAGTCTTCAGCTGCCTTTTAAAGGAGACCACTGAGTCCACTGATCTCAGGCTCAGGGGGAGAGAGGTCCAGAGTCTGGGGGCCACAGCAGCAGATGATCTGTCACCTTTGACCTTTAGCCTGGTGCTGCACAACCAGTAGGCTTTGATCACTGGACCTCAGGGACCTGCTGGGGGTGTAGGGACTAAGAAGATCACCAGTGTAAGATGGTGCTTGTCCATGTAAGGCCCTATAGACCAGAACCAGGATCTAGAAATGAACCCTGAAGTTGACTGGCAGCCAGTGAAGCTGGAGGAGAAGCGGGGTGATGTGGGTGTGTTTGGAGGACTTGGTCAGAAGCCGAGCACAGGTGTTCTGAACCACCTGTAGACGGTTCAGGGAGGTTCTGCTCAGACACGTGAAAAGAGAGTTACAGTAGTCTAAGCGTGAGGAGATGAAGGTGTGGAGAACTGTCTCAAGTTCAGAGCGGGACAGAATGGGACTCAGCTTAGCAACGTTCCTGAGATGGAAGAAGGAAGAGCCAACAAGAGAACTGACATGAGAATCCAGGGTGAGAGCTGGGTCAAAGGTCACACCAAGATTCCTGACAGAAGGTTTGGTGTGGGAAGCAAGCTGACCAAGAGAGTCTCTGACTTTGGGAACCAGCTTGTCTGGGGCACAGATGAGGATCTCAGTCTTATCTTCATTCAGCTGAAGAAAGCTCCCACCATCCAGGTTTTGAGAGTCTAAGCAGGTGTGTAACATCTGCAGCTTACACATCTCATGGGGCCTGACATATTGGCTAAGAGGTACACAATGACGATAGCTGGTACATTATGATGTCACAATGCTGTTGTGAGCCTGTTTGTGACCCTCTCGGTCCGCCAGGCAACAGCATTTGTTGCATTTTTCAAACAAATTGAGATTGGAGTAAATTGCTCTTTAAAGAGCAAGTCACCCCCTACCACAGTATTACTCCACTCCCACTTCCTGTTTGAAAAATGCAACAAATACTGTTGCCTGGCAGACCGAGAGGGCAAAACTGCTAACAAATAAACACACACAACGACATTGTGACATCATAATGTACCAGCTAACATCATAGAGTACCTCTTGGCCAATAACGATGGCAGATTAAATTTAAATGCAGTGCAGAGTTTTTACCTGACGACGGCAGAACACTGACAGTGATGGGCACAAATTTAAAATTTTAACTAAGATGCACCTAAGTGCAAAATTATTGTCTACACATGTTTACAGCATGATTAGACACTCATTCATATAGTTTAGCAGCAAAAAATGTTGATTTGGAGTGGCTTGCTCTTTAAATGCAAACTAAACTTACATTAAAGTGTGATGCTAAAGACCTTCACATCAACTTGTGTAGTTTAAACACACACACACACACACACACTCACGCACACACAGAAATATTTCCAGTTTGGGTGTTTATTCAGATAGCAGGCTTTAAAGGATAATGACATTCATAATAACACATGTACACTCAGACTGCTGTGATGCTAGTCTGCCCAGGCAAAAGACAGAAAGAGAAAAAAAACATCTGTAACCCCCACTCGCAAGTTCTTCGGATCGGGCGGAGATAAGCAAAGAAATATGCATACTCAGGATTATGATTTCTAGATTAATCTTAATGGGATGTCTGCTGATTGTTTCTCAGTCGCTCAGCAGCACCTGAGACAGACACAACCACTAGAAACACATTCAAGACGAATCTCCATCCTCCACAAACACAAAACAACGAAAACAAGCTTTGTAATAAAACTGCAGAGTAGCTTCACATACAATCACACTTAGCTTCTTCTTTCCTGAAAACATCAGCAGACCCTGAACTGCTTTCTACGATAAAAACCGATGGAGAAGATCTGAAGATTGCAGCAGCTGGTAGACGCCTTCAGAGCAGTGAGGAAGTTTACACGCTTTCCCTCACAGGTCAAAACACGAAGGTAAAGGCTGAGGTAGGAGAGGACAGCAGAAGGCAAAAAAGGCGAGGAATAAATAACGTTCTACAAATTACAGATTATTCAAAGGCACTTGGATTGTATGGAGGGAAAGGGGGAAGTGAAAGGTCGGCTGAAAAAGCAGCAAGCAGGTTGTTTTCTTGGTAAAATGTTAGACAGATGATGTAGCTCCATTCAAACGCTGGCTAAGACAAGCGCTTGACATATTAAAAGAAATAAAAAGTCGCTCATTTTCAGGAAAATAACTTCATATTGGCATTTAAAATGATAGTGATTAAAATAAAACAAGGCATCTGAAGCTGTCATATAAAAATAATGCATAGCTTTAGGAGCAAAGATCTGCAAGTCAGTGGTTCAGCGTTGATAAAAAACCCTTCATTAAACCACACCTCACGATAAGCACGGGTTTTGTAGTGGTGATTCATCCTTTTTCACCAAAAAACGGCGTTTCACGAGAACAGATTACACCAAAACGCAGTTAGTGGTTTTCTTTCATCAGCCCCCAGACGTTGGCGGAGTTCATGTGAACGCCCACAGAACGAACGCACCAGCTGACCGGCTGGACGAGACGGACCACCAGAGGATCCGAGTGTTTGATTCAAGGCTTACTGCTGTGGGCTCAGGTTAAATCCTGGAACACAGACTGAAAAACAAACTGTTAAGTAGTCCTGTTATGCATTTCTCTCGGCCAGCACGGCTACACTGGGTTTTACCCTCGTCCCGGATGTCATCAGTGGTCTCAGGCCAACGTGGCTCAAGAACGAGGCTGCTGCAGTCAGGACTTCTCAGCTTCACCCACAGTTCAGTTACACCAAAAAGGCTGTTTATGTTTATAAAAGTTATATGTTTGTTGTGCAGAAAATCTCTCTCCTCCAAAGTGTGTTCGTCTCCCTTCTGATGCGGTCCTGATGGATCACATGGCGTCACGACGACAGCACGAGACAGAAGCAGATCCCAGTACTGAAACATGTTCTCAGTGCCCAGTTTAGAGGAAAGGGCTCGAGTTGAACAGATGTGTCCTTCATGTTCTTGTCCAGGTGGTGGAGGAGTAACGGATAGGTTTACCTTGTTGTCTACGCCGGGGACGGCTCATACGTGTCCTCCTGTCCACGGCTACTAATGCAATCTCCACGTGATTTTCATCTACTTTCCACTTTCTAGAGGATCAGTATGAACATGAAAAAAAAACGTACCCAAGAATAGTTTGTGACTCATTTGAGGTTGAAGGCCAGCAGGGGGCGCTCCTCTCTTCTCTGCCAGGGGCTTTTCTTCTCCTCCTCTCCCTCCTCCTGTGCTGCATCATCATCTGGGGAGACTGACAACAGCGCATGGTCAGTCCTGAAAGTCACCTCCTCCGGCGTGGGGAGGGGAGAGGGCGAAGCGGGGGACGTGGGGGAGAGTGAGGGCGGTTCTTCCTGCGTTTGTACTCCCTCAGCTGTTTTCGCCTCCACACCCCCCCGTCTCTGATCTGGTCTGCTGCCCTCTGCCTTCTTTGGCAGGGCGGGTCCTGTTTTGCTGTCCTGGGGGCTGAAGTTCACCTCCTCGTTGGTCCCTCCTTCTCGGTCGTCTACATAAACCAGCTGGGTGTAGGCCGTGGCCGGTGTCGCAGCCTTTCGGTCTTTCTCGCCCTCTCTCTCCTCCCGCTCCACATCTCTACCCCTGCGTCCCGCCCTCGGTTCGTTCAGGTCCACACCAGAGTCCAGACTGGCATCGTTGCCGTTGCTGTGCCTCCCGCCGTTTTCGTGCTGACCTTCTGAGCTCTGCGTGCTGTTGTGGCACCCGGCCCGCTGGAGGTCGATGTATGAGTGGCGAATGTGAGCATTAGAGCGTCCATCCAGTGAGACAAACCAAGCTCGTGGGTGAGGAAGAGGTTTCCCTCCTCTCAGCTCCATTAAAGTCTTCTCAGCCAACAAGGTGTCCTCTTTGTTGATTTCAACCAGGGCGGTTTCCCCCAGAGCAGCGGGAATAGAAAGGGACTCAGACAGTTTGAGATGTTCTCCATCGCCCTGCTTGTTGGGACCCGGGGAGCAGTCAGGGGACGGTTGTCCCAGGGGCTGCTGGGAATGTGAGGCATTGAGCTCAGCCTGGATGGTCTCCAAGTCACTCTGCTGGTCCGCCTGCAGCAGTAGGGCCTGACCGGACAGTGGGTGCTCGCCTGGAAGCCTCATGTAATGTGCCGGGATCACCAGTGTGGGGCGCACTCTCGAGTACCCTTCACCTCCACTTAGCAGGTCCACAGAGCCGCAACAGAGCAGCTGACCGGGTCGAGAGAGCAGCTGGGGGTTCGGGCGCTCCAGGTGATCTACGGAGCGGGATAAAAGGTGGTCAGGAGCCCTGCACTCCCCTCCCTCACCCCTGCTGGGGGTGCGAGGAGGAGAGCAGGGAGAGATGCAATCGATAACGCCAACGCTGCTCAGCTGCGTCACAGACGCCTGTCCGTGATTGGATGATGACAGAACTTCTGAAACGGGGTTGCTGGACGAGCAGACCGAGGTGTACGACTGGCGGTAGCCTCTTTCTGTCCCGGAGGGAAAGGCCGCCTTCAGCTGGAAAGTCTCCGAGGACTGCCGATAGTCTCTGCTGCGAGGAGTCAGATTGCCAAAAGACGAGCCGTGCTGGCTGTTGTTGCCGAGCGACGAACGACTCTGTTTGGCGTGATGGAGAAGACTCTGACGCTGACTGTCCTGGAGCTCGTACGAAGAAGGCTTCAGCATTGGAGTGGTCATGTCAGGCTCAGTTGCCGTGGAAACAAGTTCCAGCTGCACCTAAAGGCAACAACAGAATCAGGATTAAAAACCTCGAAAAGTAAATCTCTCCGACACGAACCGAGACACACACTTTACATTTAAATTTAACAGTCAGAATGCAACTCGAGCAACACAATGTTCACACAGAGCTGCCTCGTTGTGTCATGCCTGCTTAGTTTCTCTTGTTCACTCACACCGGCTGCTAAGCGTCGTCAGTGTGTACTTTAAAGAGCAGCATGGAGGTAGCTGCAGCTGTTGATTTAAAGATGCACAGAGGTCACTAACAGGAAGCTCAGCTGCGCTACAGCAGCGATAAATGAACATCATCTGCTAATAAACAAAGCAGAACCCACGGCATCATCTATTAGCCGAGCTGGACGTAGGACAGACCTCGTTGCTGATGAGGTTCACGTGGGACATAGAGGTGGCTTGATCCTTCTTACTGCTGTCCAGACCAGACGACAAAGCGAGTTTGCGATGAGACCCTCGTGGTTTCAAACAGCGACGTCTGCTCATTAGAGACGGAGGAGATGATGATTGACAGCATACATGTTCTAGTATCATGGATTATCTCTGTTTAACTTACCCGAGCATGGATGGTTAGTAGCTTAGTTCTAATTCTACTCTACAGACAGACAGAGTTGGACTCTAGCGAGTGACGGACAACACATTGAGTTTAAAGAGCAAGTCGCCCCCAAATCAACAGTTTTTTCCTGATAAACTATATAAATGTGTGTCTAATCGTGCTGCAGACACGTGTCGTCAATAATTTTGCACTTTAGTGCATTTTAGTTAAACTTTTAATGTTCTGCCTAAAACTGTCAGTGTTGTTCCGTTGTCAGGTAAAAACTCTGCACTGCATTTGAATTTAAATCTGCCATCGCTATTGGCTAAGAGGTACCCTAGAACGTTAGCTGGTACCATATGATGTCACAATGCCGTTGTGAGCCTGTGTGTGTGTTTGTTAGCGGCTCCGCCCCCTCGGTCTGCTAGGCAACAGCATTTGTTGCATTTTTCAAACAGGAAGTGGGAGTGGAGTAATACTCTGGTAGGGGGTGACTTGCTCTTTAAGTTTAAATCATTACAGAGGTTATGCTGAAATTACACACGGGACATTTCTAAACTCAACGCCACAGCAGGAGCAAAACTAAAGAGGCCTAAAAGAGCAAATTAACATTTTAACACGCAAAAGAAGATCATGCAAGTGTGTGGCTGCTCATTTTAGAGGCAAATCAGGAGCCTGCAGGTGTACAGATGGGAAATAGTGCTGCAGAGAGAGATTCACACACCGGCAGTGGTACAGCAGGAGGCAGAGCAGGCAGAGCAGAATGAGAGCCATTCCTCCCAGTATGGCCAACAGGAACACCGTGTGGTAGGTGCTGATGTCCCTCGCAACCAGCGGACCTGTAGGAAGGACAAATGAGGAGCGGACTGATTTCTTTACGTTTAAGATGAACTTTTGTGCAGCAGTTTCTTGTCAATATTCACAGCAAAAGGCAGTAAAGTGTATTCATTACCAGCAGCTTCTCACCTGAATGCAGCGGTGACATGGCGGCTACCCAGTACCCCAGCTGGGGAGCGATGTAGGTCAGCGTGAGCTGGGCACCCTCCTCCTTTACGTGACCCCAGCTGCTCTTTATCCAGGCACCTACACGAACACACAACGACAAATTCAATTTAATTACAGTTAGTTTGCCGTGTGACAAAAGCAACGTCCGAGGGAATTAAAGACAAAGTGGAAAGTGTGTGACCGGCAGCAGCCCCCCAGCTGACACCCCCAACCAGGAGTGCTAGTGGTCTCTGCTGCGAGGAGCAGAGCTTTCTAAAGGAAAAACCCCAAATTCACAAAAAGCAAAACTGAAGAGAATGCGGTTTGCTTTAATAAAAGCGTTAACAGTACATAATAAAACTTTAGAGACCAAGTTCACTAGTTTTTTCCTTGTGAGTTGACCTCCGTGGGGAAAAATGCTCTGGTGCCCCTGTTTCAGGAACTAGAAGAGAGCCGGATCAGAGTTGAGCTTCAGACGGCAGGATCTGGAGTCTTAGTTCCTGATATTTCTACATCTCTCCTCTGATTGGCTAACAGCAACACGACTCTACCACAGACTGGTTGCTCTGCAACGCTGATGTTTTATCTCCATAAATAACACAAGCCTGGAGGAGTTCTGCTGTGTGGTGCTGTTGCTAATGCTAACAGCTACCTTCTACTAGCATATACGTTCTCTGCCGTTTCCTGGACGCTAAACCAAAAACAGCCTTCCCCGTCGTGATTAAAGATGAGTGAGTCCATGAATGTTAGCGACAGTGAGACGTAGATCTGTCGGGCTTTTCTAATCCTAGAGTTTCACCGTCTGTTTTCCATCGTCGGCTAACACACATTTCAAAAACAAGTAAAAACGGTTTCTCTGTGAACTTGGCCTTTAACTCATTCACTGCCATCGACGAATAAAGTCGTCATTTTAAAAGCCGATCTTCATCCGCGTACGTCACACGTCACGTGATCAGGAAGCAGAACATCCACGTGTTAGGAGATCGTTTTGCGCCGCTGCTGTAAAAAAAGTGAGGCGCGAACCGGAAAAGCGTCTGCCGATCACAATTCAACAACGGATTATGAAAGAACGGATAACGCTCGAAACGCGCGGATTCTTCCTGATGTAAGAGGTGAGTCTCCGCTTTGTTTTGGCATCAAATCAAAGCTTTATTTATAAAGCGCCTTCCACAACCCTGTCAGGAAGCCCAAGGCGCTGAACATGGTACAGTACAAAGTTAAAGAAAGTGAATAAATCAGAAAATAAAAGCAATTCAAATTACAGATTACAAAAAAAGGTGAAACATTCTAGTAGAAGACAAATGTGTAAAACAAGGGATAGAGTGAACCAATGAAAACTGTGAGATAAAATCAACATAAAAGAGGGCCAAATTCAAACATGTTCAGGAAACGCCAAGCGGAGGAGGTGGGTTTTTAGGCGACTCTTGAAGACTGGCAGAGATGGGGACAGCCTAACTGAGGGTGGCAACTGGTTCCAGAGTGACGGTGCTAGGACTGAGAAAGCCCGGTCCCCACGAGTACGACACCTAGAACGAGGGACAACGAGCAGGCCTTGGTCAGAGGAGTGCAGAGCGCGTGATGGGGAATGTCTGTCCAGGAGCGTGGCTAGATAGGGGGGACCACCACCCTGGAAGAAATTAAAAACAAAGACGAGGAGTCTGAAGTGTGAACGATAGCAAACCGGAAGCCAGTGCAGGGAGGCCAGAACCGGACATCATCCTAGCGCGCAACATTCTGTGACTCTTAAAAAAACAGTAAAAACAGTGAGAAACGCTGGCAGCGAAGGGCTTTACCGATCAGGAACCGGCTGGCAGCGAATTAGTTAAATTCAGGGTATCTGAAGGATTAAGGGAGCCAAATTTAAGACTTTTTAAGACCTTGTTTAAGGTCACTTAGAGCAAATTTAAGCTTTAATTTCCAGCTATTGCCTGGAACCGGTGCTAACCACGTCGCGAACGTGGGATTAGCCATCCAGTTACCATTAAACTTGCACTTCCCCATGGCGCAAGCTCCCACTAGCTTAACCAGCTAATGTGCTCATCTAAAAACAGCCCCCTTTCACAACCAACTGAATGTGTACGGTTCCACTTACGCCAACATCGTACACAAAAAATACTGAAGACTAACTAGAAATTCTTGTTCATTGGGTCTTTGGTAATTTAAGACCTTTGGAAACTGTATTTAAGGATTATTCGTAATTTTTAAGGATTTTTAAGGCCTTAAATTTAGAAAAGCAAATTTAAGACTTTTTAAGCCCCTGATACCCTGAAAATTGCTTTATCCAACCTCATGTATAATGCAAATAGATTTTATATGTATTTATCCAATAATGCCACAAAGGTATTTTTTAGCAAACATACTTTTCTATTTTTGTTTCATCATCTAAAAAACAAAGAAAACACTTTAAAAGTGTAATGCAATACTTAAACCCCCCACAAGGAGGCAGCGTAGAAATATCAGCAGCAGCTCATAGGATGGAAAAATCACAATGTACAGAAAAGTACAACAGAGGCAAAGTCACTGATTGGCTCGCAGACAGGAAATATTCACGGGTGTTTTTTACACTCCTGACCTTCTGTGTGAGGGGGGTCATCCCAGTCAGGAGCCAAGAGCCACTTTGTTCCTATGTTTACACAAACGGGTGGAGGAATCTGCACTGACAGGAATAAAGGAAAGGGATGTGGAAGGTATTTAAAGGAAAACATACGAGACAGTGAGAGGGAAATCCCATCACAAGTGGAGGAAACAAAAATAAAACCGATAAGGAAAAGAGAGCGAGGCACCGTGTGACTCAGCAGCTCCTTCTCAGAGGCAAACATTAAAGCCTGTGTTCGGCTCGGCCCGGCCCGGATTCGCCGTGATCCTGTCCGGAACGTTTTCCACAGCGGACTGCTCTCAGTGAGCGGCTGAGCCGTTTAATAGTGACATTTAATGACTCGGTTCTCACGCTTCCATACAACACAGCGCTGAAAAAGCAGCCGCTAGCAAGGCTCTGCAAACACTCAGCATGTAAACAAAGCTCTTGTTTTACTTCTCTGCTTCACTTATTCATGCAAAGTAAACACAGGCCATCTATAGTTAGTCGCTGGCTCAGCTGAGGGAGCTGCACGTATTTACGTCCCGCTCCCCACAAGCCTAAGGCTGTTTGTGTGTGGTGCACACACTTGGCAGGTGAACTCCGTCAGTCTGCATATGACATCATTTTTCTTCATGCTTGTTTGACGTCCAACAATAGAGCAAGTTGTCAGTTATACAAGACAAACAGGTTTCTTTGTGTGCGACTAAACGCTGTGGACGCTCAAACAAAACAACCCGTTTTTAGAAGGTTGTCCCTGAAAGCACAAATGGATTTAAACTTCTTTCTTTGGGCCTGCTTTTTTCAGTTTAAGCCAAACAAAACCCCAAAATAACACGTTTTTGCTTATAAACTGTATAATTGGGTCTTTACAAATGCAATCTTTCTGTTTCTGTGCATTTTTTGACATGTCTGTGTAAACTTAAATCTAGAATCCTGGTCTAAAAACGTCTTAGTGCTGCCCCCCTGTGGCAGAACATCAGCTACTGCATGTTTAACTTGTGATTGGCTGGGGCTGGAACAATTTCACTCATCGGTACGGTCTCCTCCCACTCCCCTCCCCCCCTCCCAGGATGGAAATCCCCCACACTTGGCCATGCCACTCTGTGCCTCCTGCCAACGCCCACTTTCATTGCATTTTTCAAATCTTGACTAGGGGTGGAGATACGTTTAATCAATTTCCCTCTGGGATTAATAAAGTATTTTTGAATTGAACTGAATTTTCTGATGGTGTGCAGTCCTTCTTTAAAGAGCAAGTCACCCCCTACCAGAGTATTACTCAACTCCCACTTCCTGTTTGAAAAATGCAACAAATGCTGTTGCCTAGCAGACTGAGAGGGCGGAGCCGCTGACACACACACACACACACACACACACACACACACACACACACACACACACACACACACACACACACACACACACACACAAGATTCAAATGGATGAATGTGAACGCACACAGACACCTCAGAGAGGATATTTTAGCCCCTCCCACACCCACACATAATACAAAGCAAGTCTTACTGTTGTCCAGTTCAACTATTTGAAATTACTGATGCAAATATGTTAAAGGTGCAGTATGTAAGAATATAGTGAGAACTTTACAGTGAGAAAATCATGTTTCAGTCACTTAGGAAGGAAGGTTTTATTATTATTATTATTCTGAGCTACTACAGCAATCAATTTCCCTCTGGGATTAATAAATTATTTTTGAATTGAATTGAAAATGCACTAAAGTGCCAAATTATTGACTACATGTGTCTACAGGACAATTAGACACTCGTTTATGTAGTTTATCAGAAAAAAAAGTTGATTTGGGTGTGTGTTGCTCTTTAAATATGAAATTCAGACCCAAAACAAAGATTTCCTGTTGTGTTTCATATTAGGCTGGTTGCTAAGGAACAGGAGATGTAGCCTGGAGAAGGGTCTGGGCTTCTGTTGTGGAAATACTCACAGTGTTTTTGTTCCCTCAGCTTTAATCAAAGCCTCTCTAATAAGCCTTGGATGTTGTTAAATGAGAACCTTAAAGGTGACTTCCTTTCTTTTCCTACCTGGGAATAAGGAGTGTGCAAGTGGGATTTATGGAATCTTCTGATTTGTTTTCAGGCCATTAAATGGTTCATAACTGAAATAAAGGGTCAGTCTAATCATATATGTCTCCCAAGTAAAGCTATTAAATGTCTGCCTGCACACAAAGGAGACGATTTTCATCCACTCTCCGGATTAGTTTGCTATTAAACTAAATAATAAAGTAAACACAGAATAGTTTATTTTGAGAGCAGTAATGCATTTTTCCTAAACTGGATGTACAAAAGATCCTGGACTATAAAATCGCTAAAAGTATACTGGAGTTTCCTTCCGTTTTATGTCAGATTTCTTTCAACTAGCTAACAACGAGCTAACGCTAACATGAGCCATCTAACACTACAATAAACTGCGAAGTTAAACGGGCCACACTTCTGGACAAAAATATTATTACTCACAGGTCCAGTAGCAACAAAGCCAGGTCATCATCAGTCCTTAATTTTGTAGCCTCCTATAGCTGCCTCAAACTAGCATAGGCCGCACTGATGTTCACTCTGGTTTTAGCTCTTTGCTTTGCCTCCAAAAGACATTACTCTCTTACTTTTACTTCCAGGCTCTGCCATGATGCCAACAGAAACAGCAAACTTCTTCTCCTTCTTGTGCTTTTTATTGATGATCGGCAAACTGAAATAGCTAACTGCTAGCATAATAGCTAACAGCCGTAAAGCAGGTAATGAGCGCCTCTTATAGGGCACCTACTCACTCTACAAAACTACTAAGTGCTGTATCTGGCCAGCAGAGGGGAGCAGAGTGGTGTCAAATAGGAAACTGGTGAAGTTTCCAACTCAACAATCACCAAGATCAATGTTAAAGCGCTAGTTTAAAATGTAAGGATTAGAAACTGATTTACTTTCTTATTTAAACGCTGCTCTTCAGTCACAACATGTATGTAGCTTCAGAAAAACAGTGAATTCCTGACACAAAACCAACCAAGCTTAGGATGACCACAACTAATTCTAAAAATCCACAGGATGAATTGTTGTTTTGTTTATTGTTTTTATTCTTGAAACGTTGACAAAAGCAGAAAAAAATAAAGTAAAAATCTTACCTCAAACAAACAAAAGCAAATGTTGCATCATATCTGACAAACGGATAAAACTGATGCACTAGTCACCATTGTTACAGGTTGTTATGTGTCAGGGTTGATTTACAGCTTTTGTATCTGCTGCCTTTATGTTTGACAACAAAGTTTTTAATTAGTCAGGAGATTTATGTTCCTTTAATGAAACATGGCTTAGACGTGCAGTAAGTTGGGAAATAAGGAGGTTAGTAGTGCAGATTTGTATGCCTGCACTGATATTCCACTTATTGTTTTCTGAGCGACCCGACATGAGGAACTGGGTGTGTCACTCAGCGTTTGACAACACAGATTTTGTAAATAAATCAGAGTGCTCAGTAAAGCTGGAAGCGTCACCGCTTCATGAGCCATAACCGCCGAGCTTTGTGCTTTTGTTTGCTCAGTTGCATTTCCACCAAGAGCCCTGGGACATACGCGTTCACGGCCCAAGCTTGTGATGTGTGGCAGTGCTTTGATTTGCAGATTAATGTGGCGCCGGACTGTGCTCATTGTACGACTTATGAATGAGGTTATTCATAAGTCGCTCCGTTATACAGTCTGCACAGTAAGTGTGTACACATGGTTTGTAATAATCCTCATGTTATGTCTGCTTAGCAACTCATTTGTATGTTTGAAAAATAATAATTTTCTTGCTAAAATAACTGATTTCAAAAGAGTTGCTGTGTTTTATCCACAGGGTATCTGCAGGTTTAAGGGAGCCAAATTTAAGACTTTTTAAGACCTTTTTTAAGGCCAATTTGACCAAATTTAAGCTACTTTTTAAAATTAAATTTAAACTATAATTTCCAGCTATTGCGAATGTGGGATTAGCCATCCAGTTACCATAAAAGTTGCACGTCCCCATGGCGCAATCTTCCACTAGCTTAACCAGCTAATGCGCTCATCTAAAAAAAGCCCCCTTTCACAACCAACTGAATGAGTACGGTTCCGCTTACGCCAATATCATACACAAAAAATGCTGAACACTAACTAGAAATTCATGAAAATTGAAATAAAAGAATCTTGTTTATTGGGTCTTTGGTAATTTAAGACCTTTGGAAACTGTATTTAAGGATTATTTGTCATTTTTAAGGATTTTTAAGGCCTTAAATTTGGAAAAGCAAATTTAAGACTTTTTAAGGACCCGCAGATACCCTGTATCCAACTAAAGCCAAAACGATGAAATGTCGTTTTACATACCTATACGTGGGTCAAATCTCCAGGCAGGAATGTGATCATTTTCCCTTAGATTGGTGTCAGCCGGCAGCGGAATGGAAACGGTGATTGGCTCGCTCACCTGCAGCTCCCTTCCATCACTGGCCAATAGGTGAACAGAGATGGCCGCTACAGGAGCCAACTCAAACGTTTTCTCTGCTCCTGTGAGAGAGTAAGAAAGAAAAATGCAGCAGAAAGGGAAGTCAGCAGGAGCAACGTAAGGTACAGGATGGGGAGCAGAGACAGACGCAGACTGCGGGGTGGAAACATAAAACCGCTTAGATAAAAGAGAGGCGTCACGGCAGGAAAGAAAACAAGGGAAACACGGGAAGAGGGACACGGTGAAAAAAACCAGGAGGCGGAGGTTGAGATTCCCAAACCATAAACATGCCTGTGGTGAAGAAGAAGGTACTACAAGAGATGAAGTACGCTGGAATAGTACTGCACAGATAAATATACCATGCAGCTAGTTCCTTAGGAAGCCATTTCTAATCTTCTCTTTTTCTCTGTCATAACAACACTCACCTGTGCCGTTGCTGCCAAGAATCTGCAGATGAGGGAAGTGCTGGATGTGAGAGGGGGAGCTCGCCATGGTGAGCAGAGCAGTCAAGTTGGCGTAGGACGTGTTAGAGGGAAGAGTCAGAGCTCTGCGCTGAAACCGCACGGTGGGATGGCCTCTTAAACCTGAGAGTGATACACATGTTAGAAACCACGAGTAGACACGTCCATCTTTAGCACTTCTATTCACTGCTTTCATGTTTGTTGGATTTGTTTGGAGACATTTTACAGAAATCCAACAAAGAGAGAGAGCGGGGGGGGATGAGGATACGGAGACAGCTGAGGGAAAATCACACTGGTGGAAGCAGCAGACACTCCAGGTTTTCCCCAGAAAACTTCAGACACTGCTTAAAGTTTGATGCATGTCATCTTTGACCCCAAGAGTCAAATCATCTGACATTAGACCACAGATTCAACCTGAAGACCAAATATCCTTCTCACTTTTCTTTATTGAGAAACTCTGACGGCCAACTATTGCCAAGTCTGAACTCAGCTCTAGTTCAAGTGCAGGATGCCACTAAGGCTCAGCGATACAAAAAGTTTTTTTCAAGCGATATTCGTCTGTCCAAAAAAAACCACAACGAGCGATATATTCACACATGTGGGGTTTAGTGGGCCTGACACAGACCAATCGCTCTTAGTTTGCAGAAGCAGACCACAAGGGTTCCTCATGCTTGAGATCCAAATTTCATTGGCTATTTGATGCATTCATCAACATTATATTGCGCACAATTGGTTCAAGTTATATGTGAGAAGAGGAGGGCGGTACTTGTGACCGATCAGCCAATGGTTGAAGAATTTGCTTCAGTAGAGGGGGGAACTCTTCATCTGATAGATGAGGTACGGTGTTGTTCTAAAGTCTGAAGCCAACATGAGGATGAAGGACTTTTTTATGCTTTTAGTTACACGTTGTGTAGGACTGTGATTGTAAGACCTGTGGACAAAGTATTTTATTGAAGTACTTGTTCTGAAGCATTGTGGATGTAAAAAAAAACCTTTTCCCCATTGAACTGGCTTTACCCTTTCTGATCTAAGATTTTGAACCGTGAGTAAGACTTTTTGAATTTCGAGTGGTTTGACAAAAGCGTTCACCGTGTCTACAGTTGAGGTTGAATCCTTGACTACATCATTGGAATAAACCATTGTTGTGAAAAGCCATGCCAATTTGACGTGGACGTTCGTAATGTCCCATCCGCAGGACTAATTAATAGGCATAAGAAATTGCTTGTAAAAAATGGCCCTTATCTGATATAGCGCCTTCTAGAGTCCTGGAACCCCCCAAGGCGCTTTACAACACAATCAGTCATTCACCCATTCACACACACATTCACACACTGGTGGGGATGAGCTACGATGTAGCCACAGCTGCCCTGGGGCGCACTGACAGAGGCGAGGCTGCCGAGCACTGGCGCCACCAGTCCCTCCGACCACCACCAGCAGGCAACGTGGGTTAAGTGTCTTGCCCAAGGACACAACGACAGCAACAGACTGAGCGGGGCTCGAACCTGCAACCTTCCGATTACGGGGCGAGCATTTAACTCCTGTGCCACCGTCGCCCCATCAAAAAAGGCTCAGACTATCCCAATTGTTGACAAATTTGTCCAATCACCCAACCTTAAGATGCCACTGGACACAGAGATTGCTCCAACTAATCATCCATCCATCCTTTATCTGAACCCGCTCTGCCCACGTAGGGTCCTGCGGGGGTCTCCAGCAGTCAATGAGCAATCAGGCGGGGTACACCCTGGACAGAGAACCAGTCCATCGCAGGGCAACACACACACACAGGACAAACAATCACACACACACACACACACACACACACACACTCACACCTAAGGACAATTTAGACAGACCAATCAACATAACAGTCATGTTTTTGGACGGTGGGAGGAAGCCGGAGCATCCGGAGAGAACCCACACACGCACAGGATGAACATGCTAACTCCATGCAGAAAGATCCCAGGCCGGGAAGCGAACCCAGGACCTTCTTGCTGCAAGGCAACAGCTCTAACCACTGTGCCACTGCGTAGCCATCCGACTAATCAAACTCACTCCAATTCCTGCAGCCATCACATCAAACTCAGCTTTAGATACTTGATACCAAATCAGCTACCAGAGGAAAGCAGGGGATCTGAGTAAAGTTGAAAGGGTACAGCTGCAAGATAAAGAATGTTGAAGACAGGGTATCTGCAGGATTAAGGGAGCCAAATTTAAGACTTTTAAAGACCTTTCTTAAGGCCACTTTGACCAAATTTAAGCTTTTTTTTTTTAAATTAAATTCAAGCTATAATTTCCAGCTATTGCCTGGAACCGGTGCTAACCACGTTGCGAACGTGGGATTAGCCATCCTGTTACCATTACATTTGCACTTCCCCATGGCGCAAGCTCCCACTAGCTTAACCAGCTAATGTGCTCATCTAAAAATAGCCCCCTTTCAGAACCAACTGAATGTGTACGGTTCCGCTTACGCCAACATCGTACACAAAAAATGCTGAACACTAACTTTTCACGAAATTTTCATGGATTCACGAAACTTTTATAGAAATAAAAGAATCTTGCTTATTGGGTCTTTGGTAATTTAAGACCTTTGGAAACTGTATTTAACGATGATTTGTCATTTTAAAGGATTTTTAAGGCCCTAAATTTGGAAAAGCAAATTTAAGACTTTTTAAGGACCTGCGGATACCCTGTGAAGATAGAAGCTATTCCACAGGTAAGTTTGGTAAAAAAATAGTCACTGCACCTTTGATGACAAAAAGATAAGGCTGACTCAACATAAAGCCATCTTAAATAATTTCTGCTAAAATAAAAACACTCCTATGCCTCTGTAATGTTAGAGGGAGTGTTTTGTAGGGGGTAAAAAACAATCTGAGTCTTTTTTTTCCATCTCATTATTGCTGCATTCGTGCTTTCTCGTAAATCGTGATTGAACTTCTATCGTCCTGCATGGACAATTACAGCAGACCAGCGAACGGACAAGTGCTCCAAATGTCCATTGTGCAGATGAGCTCACGTTGCTTCAAACACCAGATTTTTAACAAACCCGGTAGACACATCACCAACCACATAAAGAGCAGCGACTGCCAGCAACAGTAAAATTATTTGTGGCTCATGCTTCTGCACCCGAGGGGAATAATCGCAACCACAAACAAAACTCGACATGTAATCCTTGTTCCCAACAAGACTGGAGCAAATTATTCCTCTGTGCCAGAGGTAGTTCTTTTTTCGACTCTGTGAGCCGCGGGAAATCTTCAGCAATACACACAGATACTGTTGTCTCTCTGAGTGAATCGCAGCAGCGTCTTTTTAATCTGTAGCGGAACATTAAACTCCGGTAAAATTCAATTCAAATTCAAAAGTACTTTATTAATCCCAGAGGGAAATTGATTGCTGTAGTAGCTCAGAATAATAATAATAATCAAGTCATCAAAGAGTTGTTGTATATTACAATGGCTGTTGGCAGGAAGGATCTCCAGTAGCGGTCGGTGATGCAGCCAAACTGAAGAAGCCTCTGACTGAAGACACTCTTCCGTTGTCGGACAGTCTTGTGAAGAGAATGCTCAGGGTTGTCCATCATTTTCTTGATTCTCTGGAGAATCCTCCTCTGCATTATCTCCTCCAGCGGTTCTAAAACTGCCGAAACTCTGGCTGAGTCCTTGAAAGGGCTTGGAGTTCCTCCATCTTGTTGGCCAGCGATCTCACATTGCCCGTTATGATAGATGGAAGAGATGGTTCGACGCTGAAAGTTGCCCCCACTGTTACAGATAAACACAATTCTAGCTCTAGTTTAATAAAGGGGTTTGTTGACGGTCAGTTAAGTAGCTACTGGGGCCAGGTATGGAACATTGCTACTGGTGTGCATGTGAATAATCAAAGTAACAGCAAAAATACAAAACGTACAAATTAAGTGGAGATCTCGTCTGTTTCTGTTGGTGGAAAAACAGAACCGTCTCTATTCAGCCATGACTTCTGTTTTGGCGTGTTTTACAAGCCAGCTTCGCATCCCTCGTCTTCGCCTAATGCATTTTCATAAACTAAGCCATCAGTTAGACTTAATGGAAGCAAGTGATCGATGCATTAAAGGCAATGCTCAGGTCAACCTTTTCTCTCTCTGCCATTCGAACGTTTCCATCGCACTCCTAAGATCCACTGCTTCTCATCTCATCAACACATAAAACATAATAAGTGATAAAAGTATGAAGCTGGAGTCAGCAAGGTGATGTCATTTTGTGGTCCGACTGTATCAAGTGCAAATTCCTGAGTAGTGAGACCGATCCAGCAGGGCACGGGTCTGGCGGGTGAAAGGATTTCTAGGATCTGAGGTCGATTTTCATGTTTGTTTTCCCCCCAAAATTTCTCCTCAGGTTTCAGGTTTCGGTGCCGTTTGCGCTCTGTTTTTTATGAACGTAAACAAGCCTTTGTGTGTTCCTTTTCTCCACTCTCATCTTTTTCCCTCCACTTTTCCCTCATCTGTTCCTCCTTCAGTTGGACTCTGATCTGCCCATCCCCCCTCTCTACCACCCCCCACCTCCCAAACTGCTCCACCCACCAGCCCTCTTCCCAGAATACTGTAGTCTTCCTCTCCTCTTTTCTCTCTCTCCTATCATGTTTGTTTGTGCCACACGACAGGCTTTACCGCCCCCTTCTGTGCTCACGTTCACCGAATATTGTGACAAAAAGAAAGAGGGCTGGACTCTGCTCCACTTTGACACGTGCCCTGTGCGCTCAAAGGCTTCACGCTAATGGATCATGGTGAATTTTTTGGTCGTTTTCTTTTTTGTGCAACACAATAGGACTGAATTACACCCTCAGCGGTCACAAATACACAAAAGAACCAGCAGACAAAGAGGCAGAGTACAACAGCCTTGTCTAATATCATTACACCTGAACAAAGACGCTGGCTAACAAAGACACTATAAAGAATTAGATTTGCTCTCTTGTTTTGTTAAAAGCTCTTTAAAAATGTAATTTTCATGTGTTCAGAACTGAAATGCTGTTTGTGGAAGTGGGATTTTACCTTAAAGCCTCTTTTGTGGCGTTTATGTTGTAAAATCTGAACACCAGCTTTGTTACTAGATGCTCTAAAGCTTCAGATTGAATCAAATCATCTTTTTTGAGTGGACAGAGGTTGCTTAGTTGAATGAGGCTCTGGTTTCCCAACTCGTGGTTCCTGCTCACCATAAATCACATAAAAGGCACAACGGTTTCACTAACTACAGGCTGTCAAAGTCAGATTTGCATGCATGTTTCATAAAACTGTCATCTGGAGAGTCTGGGTGTAAATCAAGTGCATCAACATTTGAAAAATGTTTAATTTGCATTTCAGAAAAAAATAATAATAACACATTCACCAGTTTCGTGCTAAAATTTTAGTTGTTTTTGATGAAATTTGCATTATTAAGTGCAAACTTTTCACCCAGACCTGCAAAGAAATACAGCTTAAACATGCTTTGTAGAGTAAAACACTAAATAGGAAAAAGATTCAAACAGGCAGCTGTAACATCGTCCAAATTAACAACGGATGTTGGCCGTGTGTCTTTATGCACAAATAAAATCTTTAGGGGGGGTTCAGGACTCATTTTACTGATGCTGACATGTAAAAAAACAAAAACACGACTGTTGAACGCCTACAGCTCAAGACTCAAAAACACCTAAACTACCTTTACACCAGCGATACGTCAAAAATGGAGTCATTACAATGTCAGCGTGCGCGATAGGCCTATTGCAAAAGCAGCGATAAGTGGAAGAACTTGTGGTTAAAAACAGGGCATCACTAATTTTGGAGATGTTTAGGCTACAAAGGAGACAATGTTCAACAAGCATAGGTACCAAGGGCGCCCCAAGGGGTGGCCATGACCACCCCTAGAAAATTGCAAGCCACCCCCAGGAAAAGCCTGTGTTAATAAATCATATTAATGTTCGGTCAAACCATAAATTGATCTTATTTATTCAAGACGTAGTTGTAAAAAAAAAAGAAAAATAATATAATTAATGAGTAAAGAAATAATCAGAATAAAAAATGCATGTTTCTGCTGCTCACCATTTAAAAAAAGTTTTTAATCTCCATAATTTTTTGTGAACACAGAAACGGGTGAATTAACCTACAAAACGAAATTTTTAAATTAAACTTGGAATAATATTTTAAATAACTGAAATGTTTGTGTTCATAAAATATACGTTAAATGTTTTTGATACAACCTGTTTTTTTTTTATAAAAACTAATAAAGGAGCAATGCAATACATCGTCACAGACTAAACTCTCCCAGAGTTACCACAAGGACCAATTTGGTGTACAACCCCAAAAATTTCTTTGGCCCCCATCTGGCCCCCCATCAAAATTTTCTGGAGGCGCCCCTGATAGGTATGCTGTAAGACATGCAGAACACTTGTGGCATTCATGATGGGAAACAGGAAAAATCTCAGCTGTCACCTCCAACGCAACCATAAAGATCTATACGAAGAGCTCCAGAAAGCTAGCTCTAGCAAACCATACTTTACACCCATTTGTCGTGAAAGTAAAACTTTCAGGAATGGACGGATTAAATGTTTGGGATGGCCAAAGAACAAGAACATTCTGTGCTACATACATTGCATTTTATGCCTTGACAGAAGAATGCAAACTCAACAGGATGTTTTGGGATTTTGGGGAAAAAATGTGATGGATAGTTGAGTCCTGAGGTTTTGCTAGGTGCAAAAATGGCTAGCTACCACTGAAGAGGGTCAAAATTAGCATATTTGCTAAACGTTTAAGGATATTTCAAGAACAATACTAAGCTTTCTTACAGCAGACAAGGATGGTGTTGCAATCAAAAACTCCAAAACAGATAATAATGGACACTGGCTGCAGATTCTTCTTTTATTAAGAAAAGCAGTAAGCCCAGCTGAAGACACACCAAGGCTTACCTTGTAGACCGGACACAATCTCAACAGTATCTTCATACACCATCAGGGTGGCCGCTCTCTCTGGAAGCAGATCCAGGCTGATGGAGGAAAACACTACAAGGGAAACAAAACAATGTCAACACTCTAACTGAAACAATAGTCAGTATCGGGATAGGAAAACTCAGCCAACAAACCAAATGATTTACTGATCACCGTCAGAGATAAAAGTCACACAAGAATCTTTCTACGTTTTCAGGTCTGCTTTCATTCTTTCTGCTACGCAGGACAAAGTCTGACCCAGCAAACCGTACTTCTTCCTTCCTTCCTTTCACTCCTCTATTGTTCAGACCCGGTAAGCGTGATAATCCAATTGGCTGCCGTTCCGTTGGCACATAAAAACCTCCTAAATAAACCCCTCACTGCAACACACTCACACACACACTTAAAGAGGCTCTTGGGAGGCATTTTGTGTATGATTGTGTGTGTTCTTGAGAGAAAGGGAAGCTTAAGAAGCCCCCATGCTGGGTTTTGGCATCTAGTGTAATAAATTAGTGATGGAGCACTCCACTCATTAGCTCACACACCTGGCCCAAACTTGCACGGCTCTTATCAGCACACATAATCAGGCAGGGAGGAAATCTATAACCTGCACTTCAGGAACGCCACTGTTCCTCTATTTTTATTTTTTTTATCTCAAGCGGTCATGGATAAATACACCTACCAGGTAATCTGGAGGGAGTCCAGGGAACAGAGTTTGGCACATATCCCTGTCTGGTTGCAGTGACAACCAGCGGTGTCCCGAGGCGGTAGAGGAAGCGCAGGTAGGCGTTGCCATCAGCTGATGAGGTTTCCGTGGATACGGATGTGTGGTTGGCAAAGAGCTGTACGGTAACTCCAAACAGGGGCTGATGAGTGCTGGCATCGCTTAGATGAACCTTCAGAGCCACCTCTGTGTATGGACACACACACACACACACACACACACACACACACACAACCAGAGTTCAGGAAGTGTGCAGCTTTGGTTACGCTTGGTGTGATAACAAAAACATTGTGAATAAAGTTGAAACCACAATGAAAAGGAGGCATATGGAGGTGTTATAATCACAGCAATCTAAAACACAGTCATCACATTCACTGGGTTTAGTTTCAGTGCCAGACGCTTGGTCTCTAATCCACATCCCAGCAAATGAAACGTCCGTCTGACCATTTCCTGGACTTCCGCCAATGACACTTCCATTCCAACACAATGGACCATTTCCTTCTGTCAAAGAGGCTGGTGGAAAAACATCTGAACATAAAAACACCTCATCCAGATGGAGATATGGGATGAAACGTTTAGACTGTTTAAATTTACCAATATTATTTATACACCTATAATAAATCTTGTATTTTATGTAGTGTTAGGTAGACAAACACCTGGTAACTCACACTGCTGTAGTCAGTGTGTTAAAATATTCACACCACTTTATTTGATTAAAGGTTAGACAATGCTCCACAACGACTTCTGATCGTTTTCCTTTAATATAAACAAACAGGGCACACTCAAATTTCTTCCGTACAGAAAATAAGGCTAATATCTGCATAATCAAGCCAATTAAATCACTGCTTTTGAATAACAACGATGGTCATCGGTAAGTCTTACTGCTGAGGGCTTGTTAAGGCATCTGACAACCTTCAAAGCATCTAAACTACAAAAAACTGTTGATGATGATTTAATTCAACGTAAATGGCTTGTAAGCAGGGGTTATCTTTTATAATGGCCTAAAATGATTTTGAAATGAAAAACAGAGAATAACTGCTGCACCAGAAATTAAGTATATTCTGAATAGATGCAAACTTTCCATTTTACGCTAAGATCTGCAACCTTTGCATCAGGGTATATGCAGGTTTAAGGGAGCCAAATTTAAGACTTTTTAAGACCTTTTTTAAGGCCACTTTGACCAAATTTAAGCTATTTTTTAAAATTAAATTTAAGCTAAAACTTCCAGCTATTGCCTGGAACCGATGCTAACCACGTCGCGAACATGGGATTAGTAAGTAAGTAAGTATGTAAGTAAAAGTTTATTTATATAGCGCCTTTCACAGATATAAATCACATGACTCCTGGTCGGGTCAGACCAAAGACTTTGAAAAAATGGGACCCAATGCCTCCCTGCTTGACACTCAGCATTAAGGGGTTGGATTGGGGGGTTAAACCACCAAATAGTTCCCGAGCGCGGCTTGTCTGCAGCTCACCGCTCCCCCAGGGGATGGGTCAAATGCGGAGAATCCGGTAGCCATCCAGTTACCATTAAACTTGCACTTCCCCATGGCGAAAGCTCCCGCTAGCTTAACCAGCTAATGTGCTCATCTAAAAATAGCCCCCTTTCACAACCAACTGAATGTGTACGGTTCCGCTTACGCCAACATCGTACACGAAAAATGCTGAACACTAACTAGAAATTCACGAAAATTTTATAGAAATAAAAGAATCTTGTTTATTGGATCTTTGGTAATTTAAGACCTTTGGGAACTGTATTTAAGGATTATTTGTCATTTTTAGGGATTTATAAGGCCTTAAATTTGTAAAAGCAAATTTAAGACTTTTTAAGACTTTAAGTCACATAAATAATAATTTTGTGATAATAGAACAAAGTTCTCATTTACGAAAAGCAGGTTTAACCTCTCAAAATGCTTTTATTTGATATTATCAAGAGTAGACCGAGATAAAAGGTTTTTTTTTGGTTGGTATTTGACTATTCATTAATGTGGTGAAGTTTACCTAATGCTTCCAGTGAAGGTTGTTATTGTCTGAGTTAATCGATAACCATTTAAAATGCAACAGGGCCACGTTTTAGTGGAAAAATATGCAATAAAACCCCAGAAACTGGATCGTGCACAGTTTAAACTGCATATCCAGCTTTAAAGAGCAACATTTATTCCTCAAAGCTAAAGGTAAATATTTTATTTCTGTAAACCAGCTGCTGTAATGCAGCCAAAAGATAAGTGGGTTTAATGCTCTTATCCCAGAGACACGTTTAAAACTAAACCCTTGGGAAGAAAACACACAATGCCACCTTCTGCTGCATCACTGCAGACATCCATCCCTGTTTGACCCAAGGTGACCTTTCAATTACCTCTAAAAGTGTCTCCTACGCTTCAGCACAACATGCACCCCCCACTCAGTGGAAGTAAGATTTGTCATAACTCTTTCATGAAACCCCACCCTCTGTGACACACGTGTTAGCGCATACCTACTCCTGGCTAGACGCGTTCTCCTTCCCCCACCCTTTTGCTCAACCAGAAACTACTCTGGAGAAGAAAAGTTCAGCCACAGTGCACACCCCACCTTAAAACTGTGCACTGTGCAGAGCAGAGAGAGAGGTTTGGCTGAACCAAACAGGATTATCCTCTGGTGAGAAGATGTGGTTTGAACCTTCACTTCATTCTTCTCATGTGTTGTGTCACTGCTGAGGACTGGATTTCTCCACGGCAGAAACCGCTTTTAGATGTTTTTGTGTTTGCAGGACTATGACCTCACATCCTCTCCCACTGATATGCAGCTAGGGGTACCAGCTGTGTTCACTTAAGAAAGAAAGAAAAAGAGGACTCCCATGGGGGAGTGGAGCCTAAATCACACATTCAAATCCAACAGTCTCCACCCAGTCCAATAAATCAGCGTGGAGCTGACATCGTTGTTACACCAGTTCATCTCTCGACTCCAAACACGAAAAAGGAGGAGACCATGACTTCTCCATATCTGAGTCTTACTCATTAACATCATATGAATTTGGCGTGATGTGGAAAATAAAATCCAATTATCACTTGTGACAGCCATCAAAACAGCAGGGAAGTTGTGTGTGTTAGGATCAGGGGAGTTTTTCCTGACGAATGAATTTTTGTGGATGAAAACAAAACGAAAACTAAAAAAGATCATTTCTATAAAAACTGAGTTATGACGAATTTTGATCTACATCATGTTACAAAAAAAGAACAGCAAATAATGACAGAAGCAACAAAAGCCAATTAAAAAACAGAAAAGATCTGAGGAACGGACAAAAGAACCAATCAACACATGGAAGAGGCGGGCCTAGACGAGAAAAGAACCAATCAGGGTCAGGAGATCAAGCCACCGGTAAGAGTCGAACGCTTTATGACTTAAAGGAGAAAAAGTCCACAGCTGGGATGTCATCTAAAAAGATTTAGCTTCCAGCTTTCTGCCCACATGAAAAACTTTCTATAAAAAATATTTGCATGAATATACATAAAAAACATCATGCCATTAGAACATGTTTTTATTATTTAGACTTTCATATTTTATTATCCAACATGTTAAATCTGTAAAATCAAAAAAGTGAAGAAAAACCAAATTGAGTTTTTAATGGATTTCATGGAACTCTGAGTTATTAATTAATCTTTTTGAAAAACTGTTTACCAATTCTACCATGATCATGTGACACCCAAACATCACGTGAGAGGCATTTTTCTGGGGCATTATGAATACTGTTACCACATATTGCCATTATGGTGACAATCAGAGTAAGGCTGCAACTAACGACTATTTTAATAGTGGACTAGTTACAGACTATTGAAACGATTCGACTAATCGATAATTATTACATTTTTCTTAAATTTAGCATGAGATTGCTTTAACTGTGTGAAAAATGATAATAAACACAAGAAAGATGGGTACTTCAATGGAAAATGCATATTTTGTTGAACTTTGCTGCTGATAGGCCAGTTCATACTAAAAGTAAATAAAATGCCCTGTCTAACACCAGTTAGGCACAGTGCTCAGTCAGTACAGACATAAGGTATTAAGGTAGCACGACTCGGGTTGCGGATGAGCACAGTCACCAATTCTTGTCATGTGTCTTTGCCCATGTATGTCTGATCTCTGAATTGTCTGTACTAGAACTCTAATTTCCCTCAGGGATTAATAAAGTATCTTTGAATTGAATTGAATTGAAATGCTTAAATAAAATTAAAATACTTTTGCCAGGCGCAGTTGGGCATAACATTAAATCTCTTTTTTTTAACAGCAAAAAAACGTTAAAAAATGTACATCCAAAACAAAACGGCTTTCATGTTATTTAAATCTTACCGAGGTGAGTCAGACTCTGTTTCATTCAACTGTCTGACGTGCTTTCTCTTCAAGTGCTCGTGCATCACCGACGTGCTGCCGTGATACGCGAGGACTGCTTTGCAAATAACGCAGGTCATCTTTTTATTCACCGAATCCCGGCTAGAATGCTTCAAAACTTTAGATGTTTTGGTACGCGTAGCTGCTGTGTCGGACGCCGCCATTTATGTTGATTGAAGCCATCGACATATACATATATGGACAATGGGTTTCCATAGGCTCCAATAACACGTTTTTGAGGAGAAATGGGAGGTGGCCACCACCGCCATTTTGACCGTGTCACAGGTTCCGTCAAGCCCAGACAATACCATAAAAGGGAAAAGAGGAGGAGCTGAGGGTGGGGCTGTAAGGCTGGGATCAACTGATGACACCCGGTCGAACTAGCTACAAGCTAACCTGAAGCTAACCCAAAGCTAATGCGGAGGTGGGAGCTAAGCTAACGGAGGTAGCAACCTAGCTACAACCGGAGTTAACTGTGCACAACACCAGAGCTTCTGAGTCAGAGATACGCCGGGCTGACCGCTGGGTAAAACCGGGTCTCAGAGAGCTCCACAAGCCGGCAGCCGCGAAGCAGACAAGCACTGCTGCGATCTGAGATGCGCCGAGCTGTCGCTGGGGAGAACCGGGTGGAAAGGTTTCCATCCCAGAGCTCCACAAGCCGGCAGCCGGCGCAGCAGACAGGAGCCGCGGCGATCAGAGATGCGCCGAGCTGCGGGGAGGGGAGAACCGGGTGGAAAACATTGGTTTCCATCCAAAGCTCCACAAGCCGGCAGCCCGCGCAGCAGACAGAAGCCGCAATCAGACAGAGATGCGCCGAGCTGCGG